CTCTGACAATAATGTGTGCGGCGCAAAGTGGCCTGCTTGTTCTTCAAAATATTTACTTGCCCGAAACAAATTGTATTCGACAGAATGGTTGGTTTTGGGCAGTCCGTATTGATCATGTTAATTAGAAGTTTACTTTTCTTTCGCCCTTACAGCTCTCAGTGCTTATAATCAATTTTATTCAAAGAAAATATTCGGGCGGCGGTCTTAACTTAAAGACCAAAAATAAAAATACCTAAAATAAGTTTCTACAAGCACAATTCAGCTTTAAAATATTCACTGTGATATTTCACACTAGAAGTAGACTTCAAGACGTTTATCGAAAGATGAAATAGTTTAAAGATTTCTAATGATCGTGATACGTGTACTTGTACGAGGTTTTAAAGTAGGAATGAATTAAACTGGCGCCAACAGGACATCTCCACTAGTGCAAGCCAGTTCAGATTGTCTGACGCAATAACTACGTTCCGTTTCATTACTGTGGCGCCAACCCATCGCAATACAATTTTAGAATATTACTAATCGTTATTTTAATTAGATTTTCTTGACGAATAAGTAACGACATTAGTTTCCATTAAAAAAACAGCTTCATGCAGTTTTCATGTGGTCCAAAAAAGGCATTTTCAAAAATTTTTGTACCGACCACGTGTTGTAGTTCTGCGTAAACCGACCGCAGATTCACGTTTTTTGACGTCACATATTTTGTCGGATTAGCTATCTCTGTCTGGTACATTGCTATTTATATCTGTGTCTTTGTCATGATGAAAAACATTGTTTTCTTTTTGTTTACATTGAGTTTCTTGTTATATGCATTTTTCTAACACAGAATAATGTGACAAACAACTATTTTATGAAAATTACTTCTGGGCATCGTGGCGCTGCTATATTTGTCATCCAACCAGGATTAGAGATACCGTAATAGTATGATGCAATTTCAATGAATATGAAGCGAGATCGCAATGTGGGTTACGAACTTATTTTTGTTAGGGGCATTGATTTTTTTTAAGTCTCTTTGAAAGTCTATCTACCTATATGAATAGGAACCCATTTTATCTATCATAGTATTAGATTAATATAATGTGTAGCAGTTAATAGGTAACTTATAAAGTTAATTTATACTTATTCTATAGATTGAGCTTTCTATTTGTATTTTTACTTGGCTATCTATTATTATAGGTAGGTACCTACCTATATACGCTGTGGTGTGCTACCTAGCACATGATGCTTTCATTTTTATAAAATCAAACACCTACCTACTGCTTAAATTGTTAATATCTATTATAGGTACTTTAATCTTTGTTAACATTTACCCATTGTATCTTGTTGAGGATAAATTATTTTCATTTTATTTTTGTTGAATAATAAAATTAATGCACCAAATACTAAAAGTTTTAAATCTACCACATAAGAAGCCAGTATCAGAATTTAGGCAACCAGTTGCAACTTGATAAAGTACTTTCCTGATAAACCAAACATGACAATTTCAGTCAACCTCCTATATTGTTATACTTATACTATTTGTCTGTAATCCACTATTGTTATTTAACTAGCTTATTTTTTTTATAGATTTATTAAAGATTTTATTTATGAAACTATAAGTAGTAGGTAAGTACCCAAATTAAAAAAATATTTAAGAACAAAGGAAACTGTAATTAAACTCAAAAGTACCTAAGTATGTGTGTGAAGCTGACTATTTAAAATGAGTAACAATATCTAGTACCTACCTATTAGATACAAATCTGAATTTCTTTGTTTAGCCTTTAATGCAATAGGCATAGTTATGGGATACAAATAAGGCTTTTTAGGTCTTTGGATATGAATAAGTACCAATAACAGAAAGAAACAATAATATTACTAAAAATTACCAAATGAACTCAATCGTTTAAATTTATATCTGATACTATTGTATACTAGTTGATACTCTCAGTTTCTTCTCATATTGATATTTTTTATGGTTTTGTAAGTTTCTAACTTATAATCAAAGAGGTCTAAACACTTTTACCATGGTGATAACAAATTTAAAAACAAAATTGGATTTAATTATTGGTCATTCACACTATTACCCATTAATGTACTTTTAAATACAAATAAGATGGGTACTAATTAAAATAATGTATACTCACATGGTTCGTTAGTAGTTAGTTCAAAATGGAATTAAGTTGGATCTCGTATCTGCGACAATAATTCAGCGTCTGCGGTGGCGCTCGCAGTTATCGTCGTATGGTACCTAAGCTGACTGTGGTAAATATCTACATCTACACGCATGCATAGGTACTAAGGAATGATGTGTCTTTTAAAAGAAAATAAACCAATAAACAAGTTCTCTACAAGGGTGAGTCACAATTTGTGATTTTTCAAAAGCATAAATCTGTAAGCAAGAAAGCATTAACCAATACAAAGCAAAGCAAGCTAATAATATAATTTTTGAACTCACTGCCTGCCTCATTAATTACCTAATATACATAAAACATGCAAAGTAATTAGTACAAACAACAAAATATAATTTCACGTCTTTCAAAACTATGTCACAGATGGTAGGTTGGCGCCAAATTAAGGATTTCTTTTGCCATAGACAACGTCACAAATGAAGTAAAAGTAATAATAAATAAAATATCTTTAAAACCTATTTTGGATCTTTGAATATTTTTATGTTATTCTACTGTGTTTGTGTGTGTCCCCAACATTTTCACATATTCACATGTACCTAAGCTAATCTACTAAAGCCGGACGCTACCTGCTTGCCACGGCAAGGACAGATTGAAATATCTTTTATTAAAAAACCCTTTTCCAGTCTAGCTATTAACATTTAATTGTACGGGCACTTCAGGGCATGCATCTGAACTCTACTGAAACTGAATTAAGCTGTTCTATTTATTATGATATTTTCAATTTTCTATATCTAGATCTAGTTCAAGCATAAAATTAAATAAGTAAGTTTAACAGTATTTTAGAGATTTCAAATTAATGTTAGAGTCTTATTTTGTGGTTAGGCCTAAATGCTATTGAATCGGTGAATCCACAAAATAAAGAACTAAAAAATTTACTTTATGAAACTATTTAAAGTTCCGCTGTGTGTGACCAAAGACAATAGTTTTATTGAAATGTGGTACGTCAAACCATAGTCAACTAAAGTTTTTTTCTCTTAGACTGCTATTTTCATTTGTAATCTGTGGATGAGAATAAATTTTCTTCAATTTTGTGATCTTGAGTCGTCTAAATGTCGGGATAAAAAGTAAAACAAATTTTTATCGTAACACAAACAATTTTACCAAGAAAAAGATAAAGGTTTCAAGTGAAGTTATAATCCAATATTACTAGTGGTTTGTGCATCAAGTTCGGTGTAGCTTTTGCTATTTTTTCGAGATGTTTTATTACCACGGAGACTTTGAATCGCAATAATTGTAAATATTTGCCAATTCTGCTATTTGCTGCGTGTGAAATTTTAGCCGAAGCAGTGTGAGGTAAAGACTATTGTTTTTTATAAGCCATCTGACCTTGAATCTGGTCCGATCTAGAAAGGCAAGACATGTATATGTTGTTCTGTATATAAAAGTTGGCCGTGTATCGTTTGACGCACTCTAATACATAACAGATTGTAGGTTTATATAGCTATTACTAATTAATCTGTATGTTGGTAATGCTTAATTTGATAACAAACACTTCCACTGTAAAATGTGGTGTAGAAGTAACATATTGCATGTTTTTCTGTTGTGAATGTTTGGGAGCTAATGGAAAGTTTGTTTATGCATTAATCAGAGACTCGTAAACTATCTCAGTCTGCCAAACACAGACAAGAAATGCTAAACCTAAAACAATTATTGCACATAACAACAATTTCAATCCCTGCCAGCTGTGACCAATTTTTCCCAGGTTTTACTTATCAAACACAACTAGGATATTAAGCTTAGTATTGTCTAGTATAGTAATCAAATTAGAATACAGGCAGTAATGTAATTCAGATTGAACATTTAAAAAGAAAGTCAGAAGAAAATTGTTGAAACATATTATAACTATCTGTTTACTTAAATGTGTATAAAAGATACAAATAAGTTTATTTCTATGATGAATTTCCTAGTCACTTGCTAAAATTAAAACTTATAAATGTGGTATTTCTTTTACATTATTTTTGTTTTTACCCAACTATGGCAAAGCCAAATGAAGGATTATGATTTTCAATATTTATTGTAGTTCAAGGTAAAATATCTCAAAAAAGAAGATATTTGTAAAATTTCTGGCTTAAAAACAGGACTAGTAAGTTTAAATTGCTAAAAAATTGATTTTAAAACTTTGTGGTTGTTTAGAAAATTGATGAATAAGTTTTGATTCCTGTAACATATAATAAACATTTTAAGATACACCTCTGCCTCGGCTATAATTAAATACATAAAAATATTTGGTCTGGATAGACCAAATTATTAGATTATGTGGATACATAATCTCACATTTTTGTCATAGGACACCATAGAGTGGGTAGGCTACAGGTTGCAACTATTGATGCCTTGTATATTTCTTAAGGCTCTATCTTATACATGTATCTATATTAATATAAATGTATTACCAAAATGTATAGCCGTGAAATGACTGCATGAAATTGTATAATTATTTTTTGAAGCATTTCTTATGTAGACTATGTCAAAAGTCTAAATCGATTTGGATTAAAATTATTTATAAATTAAGCATTAAATCCATAATTATGCAATTTCTAAGACATTAAAAAATGTTCACAAAATAACTTTCATCAATCTATTCTTACGCCCAAATACTGAAAGGCTACCCAATTTTAAGGTGTACTTAAATATCGTGTCACCAAATGATATCATTTTACAAAGAATTTTTAGTAACAGAACAAACCTTAAGCACAACTTAAATGTTTATTGATTTTACTCACTTAACCCGTCATATGTCTAAATGTGGATCCACGCGAGACACAATGTATTTGTGTTTATTCTGTCTTGCATTCAACCGGTTAATATGGATTATTTCTTCCAGGTGTGTCGGCCAGGATGACGATGATAGACGGTGTTGGTGATGAAGTTGTACAGTTTGTAGCTGTAGTACTGGTCGTCATAGTGGCAGCCCTGGCCTGGTGGTCTACCAATGCTCGGCCAGATCGATACCGAACTGTGCTTGTTATGCGCTCTAGAACACTTCACCCGGTCACCGTTAGTATCCGGACTAGTAAGTATTGCATTAATGTTTTACGTTTTAAATAATTTATTAGGAATTTCGTTATTTATTAGGAGTTTCTCTTGACATTAACAACTATGTAAATAGAATTTTCTAAATTGGAACCGTAGTACAAGATACTAAATCTTTGGAACTTAATTTCAATACCTAATTAGGTTTTTTTACCAACGTTTTAATCATACTATAATGGATTTTTATAAACCAAGGCTTGGATGATGCATTGATATGACATTATAATTATGTATTTACCATTTATTAAATCTGCAATAAAACAGGTTGTGATCTTGAGGCTGTAAGATGTTAATTAATATCCTTTAGTTTCCAGTTCAAGGGTTAGCCACAAAACCAGTTTTTGCAAACCTGTCTCTCAGATATTACGAAACGACGAGTTCACTAGTTCGATGTTATTCTGATTAATGTGTACAATAATGTATGACATAAGGCCTTTTTGGTTTCTAAACGAAGATAGTAGGTATAACATTTCTCACTTTTTGCTAGTACTTAGTACTTCAATGTAAGAGTAGACAAACCTATAGGACTACTTTAAATCAGGCACAATTCGAGACTAGGGCCTAATTGAGAAATTCGAACCAAATTATTTTCTGTCAACTCCGAGACCTTTACATATAAATCGTATTTGAATGTTGCGCCTACTCGACCAACGAAGCAAGTAATATGTACCTAAATAAAAATATTTATGTTGATAGTATTATCTCTTAATCATTCATGACGTCAATTTAAAACCAACTGGAGCTGATTACTTAACCTATGTTGGCAAGCTTTATATTTATTACGACAGTCGCTAAATAAGAAATTTAATGAATACATTTTCAATTTTATCACAAAAGGATTAGGTTTTAAATCCATTAAAAAATGTGTGACTCAGTGTCGAGACTACCGGCTCAGTCTAACATATTTTCATAACATATTATTTGTTGTTTACAGGATCAAATTTAATGATAACAGCAGCGCCGACATCCACTTCTATAGCATCCACATCGGATACGGCAAGTACGTGTGTATTTATTGTACTTTATTTCTATTGTAGACCCGAATGAAATAAAATAATAACTCCCAAAAAACTAAAAAATGCTCTGAAAAACAAGAATCCACCAATAAACTACATAAATTATAGGCTTATCATTTCAACCTCATATCATCCACTATGGTTTATACTTACCCATGTTTTTACCATAATATAACTCAGTTGCATCATCATCCCTGTACTCATTTATAAGTCTGTACGGTTTTAAATATATACCCAAAATCACAAATAAATTGCTAATATTGTCAATATGAGTTGAACAAAAATTTTGCTTTCCTCATCTATTTTAAAATGCAGAAAGTAGCAAAAAACTAGTTTCACTCTCAAGGCCTCATTAATAATTTATTGTTGCTGTGTTAGTCATACCTTTGTTGACTAAACGTACCAGCCAAGGTAAATAATATCTCAATCTATCTTACCTACGTAATGGTAATAAATTGCATTAGCACATAATTAGTACATTTTATGCTGCAATACAACTAATAATGTGTTTTAGGTGTAATCTGAAAAAACAGAAAGTGCAAAAAATTATAAATACTTATAATCTGTTTATGCCCGTTTCTTTCTACCCCTCACCTCATGTACCCCCAACCTCAATGACTTAATCAAGAGAAGGTAAATATTTATAGATATTGATCATATAAGTTAAGGCGGATTAAACCCAGGCAAACACCTCATAGGCGCATCTAATTGGCGCACGCGGGTCTCGCGGCGTCTCTCTGTAACCTGGCGCCATGAGCACTTGCCTAGTGGGCATAGCACATAAAGTATTGTTTACTGCCAGAAAATGCCTAAAAGGCATTAAGTCTCGCCATTCACTGCAATTTTTTGTGACGAATCTAACATATAATAAAATAGTAGAAAAGTCATTTAAAAATAAAGTAATAAAGTGTAGTGATTGGTAGACCAGCTAGTGGTCTAATTAAAATCTTTTATCAAAAATCACTTCTTATTACTATACGAAATAAATAACGGTAGTTACTACAAGTAGTTTACATCTCTGCCTTTTCCTTCGGGGATTAACAGATATGGCGTGAACTGTTGTGGGTACTGACGGTATGACGGCCAACCTCATAATACGATGACTGAGGGTGACGTGTACGTAGGTAATGCGCATGCGCATTTAAATTCGTGTTTGTTTGTTATACTTAGTACACTGTAATGAGTAAAATATTTGCATTATTGCCAATAATACGGCTTTTTAACTTTAAATTAAATTATGTGAATAATAAAATGTCTTCAAGGTATTGTCGACGAAAAAGGCTATTCGATCAAGTACCTACATTTTTTCATGCTGGAATGAATAAGTATAGCAAAATTCACAAAATATTATTAGGTACTAATTAGTCAGTTTCCCAAATTCTAAAACTTGTATTATTTCAATGAGTCATCAGTTAACTAACAAGGCTAAATAATATTCAACTAATACACTCCTTATGTATTAACTAGTACATAAGTACATACATGTATCTACTCAAGGCTTGCAATTAAAAGGTTGCAACACAAGGTAATTCGTTGAGGAAACTGGCATTGCCCTTTCTGAGGTTAGGTTTATTTACAATGAACTATATCACTGCCATGAATATTAACTTTCAATGAAAAATTGCACACTTTAAAGTAAAAAAATAGCCATGTGATGACAGAGTATTTCACCACCTCTTCTCCACTCGTGGGTGTATGAGCTAATGGTCTACACATTTCAACATTTGAGAGACACCAGGCAACAGCACTCTCTAATAAACACAACATCATCTTTTATCCCTGAAGGGTAGGCAGAGGCGCACATTACGGCACTTAATGCCATTGTACAATGGAACACACCCACTTTTCACTATTTATGTTATAAGTCCCATGTAATAGGGGATGAGCCTATTGCCATATACCGGGCACAGTTCCAGACTCCGTGCTACCGTTTTTTTTTAAAAACCCAGTAATACTTTGCCCGACCCGGGAACCGAACCCGAGACCCTTTGCCCGGCAGTCGCACTTGCGACCACTCGGCCAATGAGGCAGTCATTTCATCACCTAATTCATAATTCAATAGAAATATGCTAACACAATTTATAGAATCCATTTTTCAATAGATCCCAGTACCACGGAAGCGACAGACGAGAATAACGCGCGTGTCATCCCTCTCCAAGAGATGGACAGCATAGTGGACGCGGACATGGCCATGTTGGACAACAACAGACTGCACTTCTACAGGAGAGTCGATTGTGAGTCTATTTTATATAGATGTATCAAGTGGTTAGGCCTACTTTTCCTACACCCTCGAGGAGTACCCAACGTGGGCCACTGAGCTGCGGATCCTGGTTGCCAGTTAAGTCTAAGCTAGCAGATACAGCAAACTGGAGGGAAATGGTCACCTTCTGTGAAACTGTAATGTCCCAAAAGGAGGCTGCTGAGCGGGATCGCGAGAGAGTGGATCCTGCTTGTAGAAGGTATCGAGCAGAGGCAACCACCTTGACGCCTAACACGCCGCAATCCAGCTTGTATGAACTGCAGGCGGACCTTTGGAGCCACGGGTGCATAGAATAGGGACTCTATGTACACATCCGGTGACCTCAGGGAAGACAGTAGCACAGTGGTCACGTGCTGCCGTGCAAAGCGATGATCAAAAGACACACGTGTCCCTAGGGATGTGCTGTAACGTGCGTTGCACCGTGGGGGCTCCGGAGCAGGTCTCTTTCTCTCCAAAAAGCTTTCAAGCTTTTGAAGGTATGCCCCCGTCATCAAAATAAGGCCTTACTCTTCCTGGTGGTGTCGGAAGAACCGATTTTAACACATTTCACATAGAAATAATGACAAAATTCTATCTCTTATCAGATTATAGACAGGTTATTGACACCAGCCATATGAGACTACACATTTGCCAGATACAGCAACGCGCGCTAATAAACCTGAACATTCAATCTTCCTACCGTATGTAAAGTAGTAGGCCCATAGCAATGGTCGATTATGAACTGTTGAGGATGTTGAAGTGGTTAGTCGATTTAATTCTTATGCTGTTTACATAAAGTTGTAAATGCATCAATATTGTCGAATTGTTCAGAATTCATTATCTCAAGTTTGTGTACCTATAATCGTTCTAAAATGAGGACACTATATTGTTATCCATGTTTGTGAAACATGCGGCATATCAAATGGCGAATTTTCATAGTCATACAATGCTTAACCTTTTTAAACTGTAAATAAAGTCGTATGTTTTCTAGTCTACATTTTCCATTTCAATAATATACACAAGCTTGTGAAGTGCAGTCATGAAATTTGCCTTAAATTACTCATCCTTTCGTGCAGTGACATTGTACATATAACAGGTATACATCCACAAGGAAAATCTCAAAACAAAAACATCCACTCAACACCACCTACACCTCTCACTGTTTTACATTATCATGCAAAAACATCCTGTTAAGTTTTTATACGCATTCCTTATAATTAATTAGTACCGAAAATAGATTATTTTTTGTCTACTAACCAAGTCGTTAACCAGCTTATAGCTACATATTTGACTTAAAATACCGCTGTGGCTTCGCCTGTATGGAAAAAAGTTTTCTTTCTAGTAATTTCGGATTGTTTAGTAATCTATACTATCTATACTAATATTGTAAAGCTGAAGAGTTTATTTTTGTTTGAACGCGCTAATCTCCGTATCTGCTGGTCCGATTTGAAAAATTATTTCTGTGTTGGATAGCCCATTTATCGAGGCTATCAAAATATCTCGCGTAATAAATACGATTAATAGGCGCCGAGCAGAGCGAGTGAAACCGCGCGGAAGTAGCTAGTATATGCATATAACCTACGTTAATTCCTAAAAAGTAAACTTTACAATAGTAAAGGAATTTTCTAAATTGGTCCAGTAGTTGCGGCGGAGCTTATTCGAAGCAAACAAACAGTCAAATCTTTTCTGTTTACAATATAGTCTGTTAGTAGTGACAATGTAATGTATAGTATAAATAATATAAAAAGATAATATATTCAGAACATTCGCCTAACTACTTCGATGTTTTTTTTTGCTTTGGTACTTCACAAGCAAAATGATATTACGTTCCTTGAGCCGTTTGATGCCCAAACGGTTTATTTCCTGTACCTAAATGATATGATACATTTTAGAATCCTTATTAAATGCCCCAACTTTGGTGAAATTTGCCATTACTACCGCAGTACAATTTTTTTCACTACAGTCACTTAAAGTAAGGTGAATAATTTATTAAGAACACTTGGTTCATCAAAAAATTATATTCTTTTCTAAACTAAAGCAATTGTTTCAGAATTTATGATTCCATAATTCTGAAGCACTATTCAGGATAATGTAAAAAAAAATACTGACGAAAAAATAAATAATTGTAGCAATAAAAGTCCAAAGACTGGCACATGGTGTACTTTTTCGTGGATAACAAATAAGTTATTGTAATTTAAAAACTATCTGAATTGGATTTTTTTAATATTTTTAGATACTTCAAATATTACGGAATACGACAAAAAACAGAATTATCCAATTTGCTCGAGTCATTCGGTAGTTATGCGCTTATATCTTACATACATTATTGTAATCCATTTTATTCATATTGATATCGAGAACTTTATTTTGGAATAATTTAATGATGATGATGATGATGTTTATTCTAGTTTATTTTTTCCCTTTTTCAGCTGGAAATACCACGCAGAGTGCATCAGAATCGACTAGCGACGAGAGCGAACCACATGAAGATGTAGAGCCGGCGAGCAACGCTCAGATCAGAGAGATGGACAGCATCGTCAGCGCTATGGAGGCTGACGTCACCGCCGGCTGTGACTTCTTCACTCGGGCTAGTGGTAAGATGGTCTTATTTCGTACTAGCGACCTTAGTTTCCCACGGGTGCAATATGCATGTATTATACACATAAACCTTCCACTCTATCTATTAAAAAAAGCACATCAAAATCCGTTGCGTAGTTTTCAAGATCTAAGCATACATAGACACAGACAGACGGCGGGTAGCTACTTTGTTTTATACTATGTAGTGATTTAGTTAGTAACCGATGGTTAGGCCTTTGAATAGATTTGTCACCATACCTATAAGAACCGACTAAGAGACTGCACATTTGTTGAATAATTATTTTGTAAGTTACGTTTAAAATACCGACTTCAACTCCCCTGAGTCCGCATCCCTTGTTCATAGATTTTAGTTATATTGTATTTTCATTAAATCACTATCTGGCTTAGAGGTTTATAATACGGAAACGCTTAAAAATATATCGAATTTTGTAAACAATGTGCATATTCATATTTATAAGATTACCAGAAGTCAGTTTTACACTGATTTGGAAGTCACATTTGCATGAGTTAACGACAAAAAGTCAGGGTCTTCTCTCAGCGAACAGTTTTATGTAAATACAAATGTATCTAGACATTTTCTAACCGAATATGCACGTGTTCCAAAAACATTTTAACTTAAGTTTATAAATTATTTATTGTTTACTGTATTTTTTTTAGTTCCTGGTATTATGACACGTGTAAGGCTGTATAACTGTAGTTAACAAGGTTATACATTCGGTTTTGCCCGCGTACTGAAAGAAAAAAGCAGCCTAGGCCCCTATCTTTAGATACAATGTGAAAGACAGAAAGACAAAGGAACTCACAGATGCATTTTTACAATATACCTTTCTTATTTCAGAATCAAATCCCTCAACAGTAATACCGACAGCAGTGAAAAAAGAAAATAATAAAGAGAATACGCCATCTACAGCTAATTTAGAAAAACAATCAGAAACTGTACAAACGCCAGATGGCGCCGGTGACGACACAAGTAATCAAGGAACGGAAAGTGAAAGAATATTGATCAAGTTGAAATATTTGAATGATACCTTGAAAGAGGTCGACGGAAGCCTCGATGAGTTACTGAAAGATTTTAAATGGTGAGTGTATTTTGAATTTTTTATCCTTTTCATAGAGTAGCTTTGGTTTGGAATAGATGGCAAACGAGTAGACGGATCGCCTGAAGGTAAGCGATCAGCTTTATACAAGGTGTTGTTTTAAAGCCGCGTCATTTTCTAGGAGGTACACGCCGCCGAGAAATGACATGGTTTCAAAACTACACCGTGTATATACACGTAAAACTGAAGGACTACCTTCTTAGTTGATTAGTTGAAGTGTGACTGCGAAGCAAAATATCCGGGTCGAACAAAGTATTAAACGTTTTTTCGAAAATTTATTGAGTTTGGTAAATATGGCAATAGACTCATCCTCTATTACTTGATCTCTGTTTACCTTTCTGTCTCTACTACCTTTTGTAAAAGGTGACCGGTTAATTTTTACCAGTGCTCCTTAAATTTTACCAGCTTTTAACAATAACAATTTCAATATTCCAGGCGACATTTCTCCACGGAACTGACAGCGGAATGTCGCGTGCGTCTAATCTTCAACGGTCGCGTACTACTGGACGACGCGGCCACACTGCGCGCCTGCGGACTACACGACCGGGCTGTAGTGCACTGTCTCGTACATCCTAAACGGACTGCTAATCAGGTTGGTTTCGGTTATTTATTAAGCCAAGGATACACTAGGGGACATGCCGATCCGGCAGATATCGCCTGATATACGGTGGCAACGCGCAACTTACGTCCACAGTGCCGTTGATGTTGTCAGACATGTCGACTAACGTCACGCTATTTCACCCAACGTCGCTTGTATCTTTGGCTATACAAATGAAATAGAAATAACTTGTAAAAATAGAATGTATAATGGGTGGTTTTATCGCAAAACGCGATTTCTTACAGACTATCTACTGAAGGACTAGGAATAACATAGACTGCAACGACCAAGGAAAAAACTGCGTGCCATTAGCGATAAGCTCTGAATTTATTTACTTATTTAGTTTTTCGTTTATTATTCAAAGATGCAGTTTACTTGAATAACTGTTTTAATTTGAAAAGATGAGGAAATCTTCTGAACTAGTGTATTACATTATGCACGTTTTTACAATGTCCTAATTTTAACTGAATGAACAGACACACAAAAAGCCCATGGTGCGTCGATATGCAAAAGGCCAGAGCTCAGCTTAATACATACTGTAGCCCAGCCACGAAGGCCCGAGTCTACGCTGATTTTCAGTACCAGCCTGATTTTAGTAACAGTAAAAACTTTCTTTTATTTATTGTTAGAGCAAATGCTATCTAAACCCAAAAGGGCACTATCCTAATTTTCATTTAACTATATTCTCAATTGATAATTTTCTTCTATTCCAGCCACGTGGTATGTCGGAAGAGGGTTCAGTGAACGCGACACACGAACTGATCACCGACAGGCCGCAGCCCGAGCGCGCCTGGGACCTCGAGAACATTCTCATGACACTCGTCTCTGTTGCACTAACCGTCGTCTGGTTCTTCAGGTAAGACCTTATTCAGTTCTATTGATTATGTAATAAAGTCTACTTTTGCATGTCGATATTAGATTAAAAAAGAAACAATCTCAGTCTCTCTTTAAAGACCAGACCAATTTAAGTTACAGTGGTATAATCGTGCAAGTTGATTTTGCGATGTCGTCGTCATTTTAATCATCTAATAACTACGGTCCTTACTAACATACTTAAGTTTATCTAGTCACAAACTCACGTCGTTTATAGTTACTCCGCACCTCCCCTCCTGTTTCTAATAAAATAATTCTATTCACGAATAATAAGTATACAAGTTATTAACAAGTAAACCCCATTTTCAGATGCGAATATTCGAACCTATTCACGGCGAGTGCGAGTCTGGCGTTGTTCGGTCTGACAGTATTCTACAGTGTGGCCATCTTCGGGCTCTACCTGTCCGACACATTCCACTTCGACCGCCGGCCCGCGCAGCCCGTGCCGGACAACTAGAGTACTATAGTACTCAAGACACAAGCCCCACTTGTCTAACATAACATTTGTAAATTAAGGAAGAAATACATTACAATAGCGTGTCCTGGCTAACCAAATCCCACAAAATCCTTATGTGGAGCAACGTTTTTTTTTAAGAAAATAGACAGAAATGCTTGCAGCCAATTGGTGGTCACGGCGCCACGCCAGAATAATGTATGCCTTTATACATATGCCGCCTTTTCTACTATGTTCGTACGTTCGTATTTACGCGTTTGGATTCAAGCGTACGTGAGTAGCATCGCGGCCACATTGTCCGCGGACAATAAAAACTATTTTCTCGCAGTCTATTTATTTCTAAATGTAAGATGACGTCATTAGTGTAAGTTGGAGGACAAAAGAGCATTTGAATCGGTGTACTCGTTACGTGGTAAAATGCACGATAAGCATTTATCGTAGAAATAGAAACGAAGGATTTGTATCAAACATTTTGTACTATAGTGGGATAATTTTTTTTGTAAGACGCCACTATGCTACTCGCTACAGCTGTGTTAGAGCTCTATATATGCAGGTCATATCGCTGTATTATCCTTTGAAATTAATCAATACCAAGCGCTTATACTTTTAGTTGAATATTATAATTGGCTTAGCAAAACAGTCATGTATATAAAAACGTTGAATAAACATAGTGTAATAATTAAACAACTAGAAAAATATATAATTTGTGATTGTACACAAAATCGTCTGCAATATTAAATATATTATTATTATATAAAAGTTAAAATGTGAATAATAAAATGTTAACAATTAATTTACTTCATACCAAAAGAATATCACGGAAACTAATTTGTATTTTTTATTGTGTGTATAAGGAGTATGTTATTCAAAATTGTTTTTTTTTTCTTTTTCATTGTAAATACAACTGAAGGTAAGTATGAATTTGTGATTGTGAAATACAGAATCTGATACTTAATTCATCTTCATACATTGCACAAAACGGAACTAATAATCGAGACCTAGACTTTCCAAGTTATTGATTGATTGGACCGTCCAAACTTGAAATCTTGAACTGAACAAGCAATTTTACTCTGTAATCTTGCATTCCAAACGAAATCTCTTAATTTTAAAAAGCTGTGATTCCAAATAAAATGGCATGTTTTTTTTTATTTTAGTGCACTTGTCAATATATTTTATTTATCTCAGTCAAAAGTATCTTTGTGTTAACATGTGTACTGGTCTCAAAAATTGTAAATAACGATAATAGATATGAACATGAACATTGTTTTATATTTATTTAGAAGTAAGTTCGGATCTTTTAGTTTGATTTTATTACTCTCATCAACTACACATCAAATTAATATTTTTCTAACTTTATATTTCCTTTCATTTTATCAAACATTTAGTAATCAAGCTTATAAATTCTAGTTACTTATTATATATTTGGGTACCTAATCGTTTTCTACGCTAATAAACGTTTTATTGTTATTTACTTTTAAGGACATAGATATATTAAAAGTAAATTTAAATTGATATCTATTTTCTTTTTTTTTTCCTCAATTTGATACGACATGGTTTTAGTACTTGGCAATTTGGGCACACCTACGGTACTTTATATTGGTATGCAGAGGATGAGCCAGGGGCTACAACGTCGGTCTATTCCATCCAATATACTAGCGTAAAACGACAATGGATCAATAGATGCCTTTTGATCGCGCGCCATATGCTATTGGAGTATCTAAAAGGTAAGAAAAGTTGTCGACTGTGCCAGCCTGTTTTGGGTAGGTAGCTGAGATGCAAGATCAAAACCAGTCAAGATCTCTCTAAGTAAAAAGAGGGTAGGTACCTAGACAAAATATTTTGGTGTGGAAACTCTGCCTATGATGTAGGTGTGCTAATAACACTGGTCAACACTGATTTTGCCACACGAACTTTGATAGCTAATTTTGTTTTATCAATCTACCCTCATCATTAAATCACAGTTTTCATTTGTCTGTTAGCCTCATATTTGTTGTGATACGGTAATACTCATAACTAGTACTACGGCGGTAAATTAACAGAAACGCTCACAAGTAAATCGTCATAAAAGTATTTGTAGTTGAATTTGAATATTTTTTGTGATTTATTAATCCTGTGAACATGTCGAGGAAGTGTAAAAATAACCCTAACTCTTTTTGTTATATCTGCGGAGAACTTACATTCAAAAAACAACGACGAAATTTTACGAATCTTGTGCTGGAGTGTTATCACCAATGTTTTGGTTTTTCTGTCGCCCATCAAGACAAATTCTGGGCCCCTCATGTCTGTTGCATAACGTGTGTGAAAAATTTAACCGACTGGAAGAAAGGTGCACGAGCTATGCCTTTTGCTATACCCATGATATGGACTGAACAGCGAGATCACGTTTCGGATTGCTATTTTTGTCTCACTGACTTAAAAGGTATAAATTACAAGAAAAAAAAAACAGTTATCTACCCTAACGTATCTTCTGCTATAAGACCAGTCTCTCATTGTAAAAAAATGCCAGAACTAATACCAGTTGCAACAACGTCTGTTGATAACGACCATTCACAACCGTCTACTTCAAGTCGGTCTTTTGACGAGAATGATGACTTTGAGTTTGAAGGAATTGAAAAGGAGCCACATTTGATAACTCAAGACGACCTAAATGATTTGGTTAGGGATTTAAATTTGTCAAAAAAGCAGTCGGAACTATTAGGATCTCGGCTAAAAGAATGGAATTTGCTACATCATAATACAAAAGTTAGCTATTTTCGAAACCGTGATGAACACTTCAGAACGTATTTTTCTCAGAATGGAGATTTGGTGTTTTGCAATAACATAAATGAGATCATGAAAATGTTGGACATAGATTTTGAAATCTCTCAGTGGCGTTTATTTATTGATTCTTCGAAGGCAAGTCTAAAAGCAGTTTTATTGCACAATGGAAATATGCTTCCGTCTGTTCCTGTGGCCCATGCTTCAAATATGAAAGAAACCTATGAAAATATGAAAGTTTTACTTGAAAAAATAAATTACAGTACATATTCCTTCAAAATCTGCGGTGATCTTAAAGTTGTTGCATTATTACTTGGACTTCAGCTGGGTTATACAAAATTTTGCTGTTTTTTATGTGAATGGGATAGCCGAGACAGAACTAATCACTATATACAAAAAACATGGCCTATGCGTGCATCGTTAGTTCCTGGCCAAAAAAATGTAAAGTATTTACCCCTTGTAGAGCCAAATAATGTGCTTTTACCACCATTGCATATCAAATTAGGATTAATAAAAAATTTTGTGAAGGGAATGGATCGCAGTGGGAGTGGATTTTTGTACCTAAAAGAAAAATTCCCTAAAATAAGTGATGCAAAAATAAAAGAGGGTATTTTTGTTGGCCCTCAAATCAGGGAGTTAATAAAAGATTCAACATTTGAAGAAAAATTAAGCGGTTTAGAAAAATGTGCATGGAACGCATTTAAAAATGTTGTTGCAAATTTTTTGGGCAACCACAAGAGTGACATCTACAGAGAGTTGGTTAGCGAGCTCTTATTGTCATATCAAGCATTGGGTTGCAACATGTCACTCAAGATCCATTTTTTAGACTCGCACCTGGATTTTTTTCCTGACAATTTAGGGGCTGTCAGTGACGAGCACGGCGAGAGGTTCCACCAGGACATTTCTAGTATGGAAAAGCGGTACCAGGGAAAATGGAGCCCAAATATGTTAGCGGATTACTGCTGGACAATTAAAAGGGACCAACCAGAAGCTAACCATTCAAGAAAATCTTAAATTATTAAGTAATTTATATAAAAAAAAGTTTGATTTACGAGATCTGTATTTTTTCTTAATATTTTTAATTACTCAATAGAATAAAATCCTTGGCTAGCAAATTTTTTTTAACTGTTTATCTTTTCTTACAATCACCAACTAAAGTAAAAAATATCAAAAAAGTCCGTGTGGCACGAAAAAGTTTGAATTTTGTTGACCAGTGTAATATTTACTTCGGCAGTTGCCATTATGAACTTTGAACAAAAGCCAGTTTTTAAAACATTGAAATAGGTGATATCGACTATAAACCCGTCGTATGTCATAACGAGGATTCACGCGAGACAATGTATTTTGTATTGTGTCTCATATCGGTGCATTCAAGCGGTTAAATATATTTTTAGGTGGGTTTTATAATAATAAATAAGAAAACAAGTGTTTAGGTAATTGGTATTTATTAAATAAAATAAAGTTCAGAAAAATATTTTGATCCGAAAATTGCACTTTGTCTATTGACGACGACGATGCACATGAAATACCTGTGAATAAAAAAAAATACGGTTAGACCAAAACAACTTGATATAAAATTTTGATGTGGCAAATTTGAATATTTGTTTCTCGCCGGATTGAGGTTTACCGAAAATAGAAATAACAGTAACCTCACCTAGACAAGAATTTAATATTTCCAAAATGCGTTTTCTCGTTAACACCAAAAACTAACAAGCTATCTCATACGATTTTGGACTGTAAGAGGACTGAAATAAGATAATAATTACCTTGAGCTTTGCAGAAGAGAGCTGTAAAACCAGCATGTCTACAAACAAGAAAAAATCGTCATTAAAACATTGTTATATAAATAAATACAATATTGTAGTAATTAATTGTTTTGTTCAGCCATCCAAGGAAGTTTTAAATGCGTGGTAATCAGGGTTGCGCATTCATTAAGCATTGTATCATCATTCAAATTTTGACTTTTACCAATCAATAAACAATAAATTCATCAGGGTAGTATCTTACATGTGGTATCTTTAATGCATACATTTACTTAGTATGGAATATTACAGAACATTTAGTTTTAGGGTCACATAAATAAGGCTTTGTTTAGGAAACCGACTTCATTCTATGGGGGTCATTCCAAAAACATGGTATGATTGGTTTGTTGCACATGGCAAGGAGTTAATTTCAAGCATTCAAAAAAATTTAGGGATAATTACCTGTCGAAGTTCCAAATATGTAAGTCCATGTGAAGTCATGATAGTCAATCTATAATACAAAAAGGTCTTGTTAGTACAATCAGATTAAATTAAATATTTACTTAAACTCATGTAAAATAATACTTACAGATTCACTCAGTGGTGGTTAGAATGTAGTATAAATTATTAATAAAAAGATATAATTGTAAAGTAAAATTTTATTAGACACTGGCTTTCCATGTGAGAATAAATAAAATCAAATAGAAAGTCAATGGCTTGTCCGATGTAACATTTATCGCTTGCGGTGGAGCTGCAGCGTGTTGCGGCGGATCCAGGCGGCGCGGCGGGAGCCTCCCTTGGTCTGTGAGAATCTGTGACCCTTGCCCAGACCACGGGAACTGCGGCCAGCGGAGGTAAGACCACGCATCTCGCGGTGCTTGTGGACAGCATTTACTATCCAGTTGATCTTGGGGTCTCTGCGGATAGCCTGGGGAATGGAAACATCTTTTTAGTATTTCGTGTAAGAATTAATTCTTCTTTACTTAGATTTCATGTTTAATCAGATAAAATGGTAGGTGAAGATTCAGCAAAACCTTTCAGATTGGTGCATGACATAAAAGTTCATCATATGAAGCTATCACTGTAGAAAACATCTCATAATAATGTTGTAATATTTACCTTGTGTGAGGGGTCAACTAAGATGACCTCAAAGTATTTGTATGAAGAATCTTGAGCCACCCAGTATGAGTTAAGCACACGCAGACCACCGCAACGGCGACCAACACGCTCCTGTGAATAAAAACATAGGAATTAGTACACAGTTACGTCTTTAGTAAATGTATAACAATTGGGCAATTACATAGAAATTCAACAAGAATTTGATAACACGTTGCTTACTACTTCAACAGTTGTAAGACCGATATCAGCATGCATGAATGCCGACCATCAATTGAATATAACCTAAAAATGTACACATGTTTATATTGACAGGGCTTTACCTCAGCAATGGATTGCAGGTTGCGTGTGGGCTTCAGCTGGTTTACACCCTGGCTCTTGGGTTTACCATAAGTGGCACCCTTGGGCACGGGGCGCTTGCGGCCACCACGGCGCACGCGGATTCTGAAGATAACGAAACCTGCAAAGATAGAACACATTAGCACTCAAAACTAGTCTAATCCACGTGTACCAACAAATTTACCGGCAAAATAACAAATTCCTCACCTTGCTTGGCACGGTATCCCAGTCTCCTAGCCTTGTCGGGCCTGGTAGGCCTAGGGGCGCGATGCATACGAGTCAACTGGCGGTACTGCCATACTCTGACACGCAAGAGGAAACGCATAACATCGCTCAACTTTTTTCTGTACAACTCCTGAATATATCTGTACGCGCCCATCTTGGACAGGTGCCTGTGGCAGACCTAGCAACAAAATCAATACATATTGATCAGAAGTCACATCATCGGTCTGGCCACAAATAGAGCGATTCTACACGCATCATGTATGCCATATCGAAACCACTGAAATATACGAATCAAATTATAAATACACAGAACAATAAAAGATATACACTATTACTTCACTTCAACAACAAGTTAAATTGGAAAATGTTGAGTGATATCTTAAATATTTTAGGATAAAAATATAACGTACGTCTCGCGTACTCCACAGGTAAACCGGAAAAGAAAACTGACAGAAATTACTCAATGGTCTATGACTAGTGGGCTGGTCAGAGACAAGAGACAATATTTCATAATTTTGTTTTAGTTGACTACTGGCATATTTAGTTCCATTATTTGCCTTTCTATGGTTATAATTTTTCAATCTATAATCTCATCTCAATTAAGCAATAAATTAGTAAGGTCGAATAAAATAATAATTACAATGAGATTCTTAACTTAGAAACAGTTTTTAAATAAATGCTTCATGTAAATGTAAAAATAAAAGGATTACATTTGTTTTGTACCGTTGCGTTACCCCTTTTTATCCCCGAAAGGCTTGGCAGAGAGAATATTACGGGACTTAATGCCACTTTACAATGTTTCATGTACTTATTTATTTTAATGCTTAAAAAAATATTCAGGAGCGATAAAGGACGTTAAATTAAACGCGAAAATAAACTCGATGCAAGATAGTTCATTTGTTATTTATTTGTGGTTCCTCTGAAACTGATAGTTTAATAGCAGTCAATGTGGACTCACTCATCACCTTTTATGACCCAGGAATTGATCCGGAGACTCCTTGCCCAACAGTCGCACTTACGACCGACTAACGATCGACGAGTAAGTCCATTAGTTGCTTATTCAACTAATGTAGTAATTTCTATAGTATCACTTGTACATAGTATCAATGATAAAATTAAATCAAATTAAAAGCAAAGGTTACTTTTATAATTATAATGAGAACTACTAATTTTTGGTACGCAATGACATTTCTGGACGAAAACAACGGTTCGTATGTTACGCCGCCATCTTGAAAGCGTAATTGTTGTCATGTTTACGTTGTGTGTGAAAGGTGAAATTTGTGATATTTGATATAAAAATCCGGTAAAACACATTAATTTTAGTAATATTCATGAGAATATGGGTTAAATAATGAGTGTTAATATTATTATGTGTTTAAAAATCATAAATGTCGCCAAAAAAAGTGCTTGCAGATTAGGCGCCAAATTGCTCATAGTCGTTACCAATTATTGTAATAAACAGCCCTTATGAGGATGTTTCGTGTGTTTGCCTTTGTTTGGTGTGCAGCCGAAGCAATTGGAGATGCTTAATACTTAATTATATTTCAGAACAAAGTTGATGTAACTACAAGCCGCAGACAGTAAACCATCACTATGTTTTACGCACATTTCGTGCTGGCCAAGAAGGGCCCCTTGGCCAAGATTTGGCTGGCGGCTCATTGGGACAAGAAGCTAACGAAGGCCCATGTATTTGAGACCAATATTGAGAAGTCAGTAGATGGTATCTTGAAGCCCAAAGTGAAGATGGCTTTGCGTACTTCTGGCCATCTGTTGCTGGGTGTCGTGAGAATTTACTCCAGGAAAGCCAAATACTTGCTTCAGGATTGTAATGAAGCCTTTGTTAAGATTAAGGTATGTCTATTTTGCATAAGTCCACTGATAAAAATATGTTTTGTTTGTAAACTAGAATGCTTTTGGTGTAATGTAACTTGTTATTCAAGATCATCCATAGTGTTAATTGATGTTCCTAGATTAATGTTAATATTAAACTGCATATTATGATATCCTTGAATGAATCACAGTTATCACAAAGTAATGGCTTGAAACACTATATTTAAACATCTGTGTAAATGGGTCAATGTGTTATAGATGGCCTTTAGGCCTGGTATGGTGGACTTGCCCGAGGAGCACCGTGAAGCTGCCATGAATGCCATCACCTTACCTGAGGTCTTCCATGACTTTGACACCGCTATGCCTGAATTGAAGTGAGTTTTATTTTCATTATCTTGTTTTGATTGATTAGGGATTATTATTATATTATGAAGTAATGTTTATGAAACATAACCTACTTTCTTATTTTAGTGTCATGTATCATAATGTTAATGTTTTGATATAGATATTACTCATTGTCAAGTTCATTTATAGTATATATGGATATTTTAAAAAGTACTTCTGAATATTTAAACTAAAAAAGAAATCAATCGCAACATCCTACTTTTATTTTAGTCCATTCTCAATAGGATTACTATTGAACAAGCAATCCTTTTAATAATAGATACTGTAATTATAAATTTATATTTTATATAAGTATAAGTATGTGAAGTTTTTGTGAATTTAGCTCATGTCCATCTGCATAATCGCAAGTACGGTGTGAAATATTATGTTCCCATAAGAAAAACAATAAATCACTTCTATGAGAAATAAAAAACCAAATTACAATAAATGTATAATTACATAATATAGACAGTGTTTGTGTTTGCTTTAATAAACTAGGTATTTGTCATGAAAAATAATTAACATAGACATAAAGTTGTCTATAAAGAATGGTGGTTTATCATAATATAATAGTGGTCAAATGTCGGCCTATCAAATATTCAAAAAAATATAAAAAGGGAAGAGTCATACTAGCTTCTGCCCACGATTTCGTACGCGTAATGCCGTTTTTCCCTGTTCCCATTTGTGATTTTCGGTAAAAAGTATCCTATGTCTGACTCCTAGTTCTAAGCTACCTCCCCACCAATTTTCATCCAAATCAATTTAGCCATTTTTTAGTTATAAAAAGTGTAACTAAACATGATTTTCTTTTATACATATAGAAATTACTTAGGACAATAAGTTAGTAATCAATTAAATTAAACTTTTCCATTTTAGTGAAGTGGACATTGAAGCCCAGTTCTCATTGAACCAGTCAAGAGCTGAAGAGATCACTATGCGCGAGGATTATGGGTCATTGAACCTGGTGACACATGACGATGGATTCGGTGACATGGGGTTCGATACTGATAATCCTGATATCATGCGAGAAGCTATTGGCAATGAAGGGGGATTGGAACAGGTATGCATATTTTATCTTATAATAAACATAAATAATATTTGTGTTAGAGTACTATTTAGTTGGTAATTTGCAATGCCACTAAAGTAAAAAGTCTCCTGTCTAAAAAAAATATATTTTTTTTCAAATATCACAAAAAAGAATCCAAGATATGTTAGCATCAGATTCAGTGAGTTAATTGTTATAATTTAAACAATAAAAAAATATATAATATAACTTCATATAAATATCAATTTGATAATTTGTAAATAAAAAATTCTACAAACTTAGGTAAATAAATGTAATACCTTGTTATAGAGTAACCTATTGTTCGCTGATGGGTCATCCCTGGAACTGGCTGGCAAAGACGGCGGAGTAGGCAGTCTGACTGGTGGAGTTCCGGCACTAGCGCCGGAGCACCCACGGCGCATGGAAGCAGCACCTCACGCACCCATGGATGACGGCTTCGGTGGAACGATAGGCGATGTTGCGGATTTCGGACGTGAGTGAAAATTTGCTTTCGTTATACTCGGCTTATTTATTACTGCCTTTTTTATTTACTTATATAATTTCTAAAATCGTTAATTAGCTTTTAATTTAGATTTACTCGAGTGGTCAATAAGTTGCCTCTGTCTATCCTTAAGTTTTGTATACCATTTCCTGGTAATTTTTACAAATCTCACATGGCGTTAGTACCAGGACAAGTCACATGACTGACATAATAACACGTAGTAACACATAGTTTTTTTAATCTTTATTTTATACCTTACCAATCTTGATTTATATATATGTATTCTTATTGTATTTAGATGCGGGCGGTTTGTTCGAGGGTGACCTGTTCGGCGAAGTTACTGGCAGCAGTAGTTCCGCGGCGGCTGCCTCCGGCATGCCTGGCACTTCAGCGCAGCCCCAATCTCTCCAGGTGAATACTTAGCTTTAGTTCGAATTTGAAAGCTTACTTCTTAATTCTTAAAAACGTGTTTTTATGGTCATCTTTAATAAACTATCTATCTGTAGATTTCACTAGGATATTTGACTTATACTCAATATAAAATGAGATTAAAAACTGGCTTAGTAGTAAAAAACAATACCCTTCCTACAGTCAGGTAGTATATACAACTAAACGGTCATAAAGTATTGTAGAAATTACAACATTACAAAATTATGATATTAATGATTTTGTTGATGTTGATTTAGGTAATATATTTAAAATGAATGGTATAACAGGCTGAGATTGACGCGGCGGGAGTGAACGCCGGTGAGACTGGAGGCGACGTGGCGGCCGCGGACGCGCCGGACTCGGACGATGATATGGGAGACCACTACGATGCTGGCAACTCTCCACAACACAGGTTAGTCTGAAACTGTTATCTATGGACATGGTGTATGGAAATATAGAAGTATGATTGATTATGATTACTATAAATGTAATGTTAACGGCGTCACGTCAAGGTATACTGAGGGCTTAGTACGAGTTTCTCTTACGTTGAAAGTAATCGAAACGAGTACGCGTTCGGCGCTGTGATTGGCCGGCTCTAATGAACCAACCAATCAGAGGGCCAGACGCCGTCTCGTTTCGATTACTTTAAACGAAAAAGAAACTCGTACTAAGCCCTCAGTATACCGTATACGATCTGTGCTGAAACTGCAGTAAACTAAATTTGATGGACCGTACCATGCACACAGAAGTTGCTAGTTTGCTACCATCACGCTAATCTTTATTAATTGAGAATAACAAGACTATTATGTACTTACAGGGATTACTAGGTCAAAGTTGTACTATTGTATGAATAATTTGTGTCCTGTTGTAGTTGGGGCGGGTCCCCCGCTCGCCCTGAGAGCGTGGTGCCGCCAGCGGCGCCTGCGCCACCTTCTCCCAGCCCACATGTACCTATGGTGAGATTTAAAATGTGATATCCCGCTTTTATTATAATGTATGCATGCACGTTGTTGTAAGAGTATCCTTATACCTTTTTTCAATTAAATAATTAGAAGAATATAAAACATGTTTACTAGTATTTGATAAACATTTTATCAATGTGAATGCATTCTAACGTCCATTTTTGTCCTGTTACAAGATCTCATGATAAGAGCCGAACCTATTATCGCCACCAAACACGATTCTATCCAGCCCTTAGACCACCTTTTGTAATGTAAAAAGTATTTATTGTTTACGTAAATTGTTATGTTCTTTCCCTCAGGACGTGGACACAGTCCCGGAGCCTGTCCCCCGGCCGGCGAGCGCGGAGCCCGCGGCGGACGGCGCGGCCGAGCGACTGGCAGACAACACTACACTCCTGCACAATGATGAGGAATCATTCGCACTTGCTCCTGTTGACGCTACTGTTCTTAAAGGTAATGTGGAGTAGCTAACTTTTAGACACAAAACGAGAAAGTATACTCTTTATATGAAATAGAGATGACATCTTTGATTGACTGCACAGTTGATGCAGTGGCTGGGCAACCGATTGTTGCGCAACGTTCAATCGATTCCCGTACGGTACCGCTCTTTTGTAAATCTCAGATTTTTTGTATGGTTCTTAAGGCAGCCACGACACTGTTTAAAATCCTGGCGTGGAGTTCCGTTTTTTCTAAAAGATCAATAAAAAAAATCTTCTGTTGTTATTTGAATGAAACATTTCATATTACACTCTAAAATGATTGTCTATTTCAATCAGGAATAACAAAAACAAAACGTAAACGCAAGCTGATTGTGGACGAAGTAAAGAACATATCTGGTGAGGAGATGAAGAACCAGCTAAGTAACACGTCTGATATCGTCACCACGTTGGACCTGGCGCCCCCTACCAGACGTCTGATGCACTGGAAGGAAACTGGTGGTGTGGAGAAACTGTTCACATTGCCTGCTAGGCCTATACCTTCAAGTGTACTGTTTAAGGTATGTATTTCATGAAAATCTATTAATCATGTGTAAAGTAACTTGGGATGCTTCAAGATCAAAGAAAAGTAGTCGCCTTCAAAAATATCATAAAATAGGACCGTTTGCGTAACATTGACGTGCCCGTCGACGTACAACTCATTGGTACGTGCACGTCTACTCATACGCATCCAGTTTGCTTGAGTCATCGTGTAAATGAATAGAAATATGAATGTGTTGTTAATGATGCAATTCTTATTTATATTTTTTTTAATGGGTAAAATTAACATAATATTTGTGATATTTCAGAAATACCAGCGCAACATGACGCTCCGTAGCGAGGCGGAGGAAGCCGACGCGGCGGCGGCGGCCGCTCGCTCGCCCGACCCGGTCGAGCCGGCGCGGCGGGGCGGCCGCAAGAGGAGACACGAGGAGGTACATATATCATCCTTTAATCTGCTAATTTCTGCAGGAGGAGCTGCTTTAGACAATACAACACATTTGACAGACTGGACACGACAGGCTCTCTCTCCCTCACTCTCTAAACCTGTCATACATGGAGATTGCGATTATGATTCTGTGTAGAGACTAACTGTCACGAGTTGTTGATGTGTTTGCAGTCATTCAAGAACGCATCACTTACTGAAAAACTAAAGTTCTTTCCTGCTATCTAAAATATTCGATGATGACACATTCTTGGACTATCACTCGCGTTCCTGTCGATTGTTTCTTTTCTATAACTTTAATAATGTATTCTAATCTAATGCCTTTGTAGACAATGCTTCCACCTGAGACACCAGCACCAGCCCCGACTCAAGAATTGGAACCTCCCACTCCAGTACCTCAGGAATATGAACCTTCAGTTGGTGAGTACAAACCTGTAATCATTCACTGCTTTCTCATTGGGATGTGGTTTGCAACGCCATTCTACTAAATAGCATGAATATTCACCATGAATCTGGTGTGGCTACCTATCATATACATAATTGGAGCTATTGTTCTTAAGACATACTCATTGAATTGTGGGTTTACTTACTTTCATAATCTTAACTGTAAAAATATCTAACGTAAGAATGAAACCATCATCATAATTTAAAAAGTTCCCCATTCATTTCTAACTTCATAACTACAAGAAAACTTCACTTCGAAAAATAGCTTTATAACCTAATCATGCATTTAAGACCTTAACCACATACAGAAAAGGTCTATAATAAACTAACAAACATTCATAGTGAAGTTTTCTAAATAACTTGTACATTTGCTACTTAACTGCACTCTATTAACAATGGATCATGTGGTGCACGGTTAGAGCCTGAACCTGCGCCGGAACCGACCGTCGAACCTCAAACTCCTCGATCAGACGTCGATGTCGACCTTCCTCAGACACCAGGTATTTACTGGCCCTGTATAAAATATTTTGCTGTTTTAATTGATTGGATATCCTTTATTGATGTTGTCAAAACACCATTTTCTTCAGAGAAGGTGGTCTAGGGGGAATTTTATATTATACTGTTACTTTTTGCCTATACCCCTATAAACTTTATAACCGTTTAAAAGATTCTCACTCGACAATATCGAAAATCGAAATGTATGATAAATTTCCCTGCAGCCTTAATTTGTTAAAATTATATAGAATTCATAAGTTAGTCTATAACTGTCCCCATGTGTAATCTAAACATATTTTGTGTTAAAAGTCTTCTTTCTTATGTATTTTCCTACTGCAGAGCAAAGATCTGTCTCACTGACACCTATGAAATATTGTTCTTCACGATACTATTTACAATAAGGCCTAACAAGGCTATATATAGTAATAATTATTTTAGTTATGCACTCTAGCGTAAAGCACTGAAACAATACCTACCTTTTCTCAATATGGAACAGTAGTAATAATGAAGTATTTCGTTGTGTAGGAGGTATGCTGAGTGCACTAGGCGGCGGTATGACTCCGGGCGCGCTGGGCGGACTGACGCCGGGCACTCTGCTACAAGGTGGACTCACTCCCGCCGGGCTACAGCATGGAGGAATGACGCCGGGTACGTACAATAATACCAAGATTTTTCATCAGTACCACATCTTTGAGTATTGTACAAACTTGCAATGCCAGTCAGGAAGGCAATGTTTACACGATAATCGAAACATTTGACTTGTTGTAAGGTCATTAGATTTACTCGAATAACCGACATTGTAAAGATGTCATCATTTGTTCATTACTAATCATAATAAAATTTCCTTATTTTTAGATTTTTTTGGGATAGGGTTACAAACGAGCGAATGAATCAGGTAGTTCACCGCCAGGTGGTGATAAAGAAATGTGAACATTGGGGATTTAGAGATGGAGTAGATGCCCAATTACCCCCCTCCCTTTCCCCAATCCCTGAATCCCCAACAATCCTCAAATTCCTAATCCCAAAAGGCACTTGTAACGCCTCTGGTGTTCCAGGTGCCCATGGGCGACGCCGATTGCTTACCATCAGGTGATCCGTCGGCTCGTTTACCGGCTTATCCCATAAAAAAAAGTATATTGGACCTCACTGGAGAATTTTTATAATAAAATGAAATAATATTTATTTCTGCAAATAAATATAATTTCATTTCATAAAATATAAGACCCTATAATACTATTTGAATGTGCAGGTGGTTTACAACACGGTGGCATGACCCCAGCTGGTCTGCATCATGGCGACAGTCAACATGTAGACCTCGGACTGTCTGCGGGCGGGATGACGCCGGCAGGATTACACCATGGAGGTCAGTGTATTCTTTACTCAAATATAATCATGTGTCATAGGTGTCATAGTATGCATGACAAAATTATTATTTTTCAATGGTCTTCATCGTACTGGTAAAAAAATAAACTTCACAAAAATTTAATATCGCGGATCATTTACCTAATTATGGAGCCGAAGTTGCTCTCTAATAAGATTTTTCAATAGTTGTTTTTTTCTTCAATATTTTTTAATACTATGAAACATTCCCAGGTATGACCCCGGGTCTGCTAGAGAGTGGTATGACGCCGGCGGGATTAGTCCATGGAGGCCTTACTCCCGCTGGTCTGCATCACGGAGGCATGACGCCAGGTAATGACTACACTTCATATTACAGCGGTATGTATATTATTGGTTCTTTTTTTTTTATTTACTATCTGGTATTATTATAATTTCACTAAAATCTAAGTGGCTTTAAAATATTCTGAGGTCTGGGCTCTAGAAAAAAAAATAAGAAAAGTTATTTTCGACTTAAAAAAATTACAGTATTTTTACTTATGTTTAGGCGGTATATGACGGACATTACGACGGTCGTTAAAGCTCGTCAAAAGCCCGAAAAAATTTAAAACCAAAATGACTTTGAATTTTTTTTAAACATTGCCCCATATTTGGATTTTCTCTTATTTTGTGGGTATTCAGACCCGGAACAATTAAAAACAAACATTCTCAGCTAGGAAAATGTTAAAAGAAAGAGGTACAAAACCCTATATTTTCTCTCGTACAGGAGGTCTAGACCACGGTGGTATGACGCCGGCCGGGCTACAACACGGCGGTATGACCCCCGCGGGGCTACAGCACAGTGGCATGACCCCCGCCGGACTACAACATGGCGGCATGACCCCAGCCGGGTTACAACACGGTGGAATGACGCCAGGAGGTAAGAATACTAAATATAGCTTATATCTTTTGGCTCTCTTTAATTGACCATTAACTCAGTTTTGTCATACCGTTATGTTTTAGAGTCTATAGTAAAGCCTTCCTTGATAAATGGACTATATAACACAAGGTTTTTTTTCTATTCAAACCCAGCCTTAGTTCTCTTTCAAGAGTTTAGCGCGTTCGACCAATTATACAAACTCTTCAGTATAGACCAGAAAACCAACATTTAAGCCACGAACTAAATGTTTCATCTAGCTTTTCGCTCTTTTTATTTGGCTGTCTCAAATTTAAAACTGCAATTAATATACTTTTTCGACATGACAGGAGTACAACACGGCGCAATTCTCCAGCATGGCCTGGAGCAGCTGCCGATGATGCCGCAGTTAGGCGGGGACCAAGTGTCGTCGTTGTTACGTACCTCTCTGCCTACCCCGGCTGCAGACAGAGCATCTCACGACCTTCCACACACTGTACCTATGGAACCCCTGCTACATGGGCTCGACGACCATGGGGACTATCAGGTAAATAAGTTTTTATATGTAAAAGTTTGCTCATTACTAGATATCGGGGGTGCTTTTGCATTAACATGATATGCACGCCACTACTATAATATATGCATACATACTCAAAACAACAATTTGTGGATTACACAAAAAATATTCTGCATGAATTACAGCGCCGACAGTTGGTAGTTAGAAGACAGTTCTTACAAAAGAATATCATCATATTTTTGTTTGCAGAATGGCATGCAAATGACAAACTTGGGTTACGACGACCAACATGGCCACAACAGTCCACAGCACGATTACGATTTACCTTTAACGCCAGACAACGTGAGTATTATTACATTGATGTCTTAATTATTTAACTAAATTAAAAGCTTTTAAACCCAATACAGATGGGCCAAGTTATCACATGTAAAAGACTTAAAACTCTAGAGACAGGAAAGTGATATTTAGACTTATTGTGTGAAGCAGTATACAGAGTATCTAAAAATAATTTTCTATTCTTACCAGGCGGAAGAGGGTGAACGTGAAGCAGGTGAGACGGACGAGCAGTTCGAGGAACGAGTACTGAACCGTCGTGCAGCGCAACTCTTCGCCGTCATGAAACCCAAACTATCCGTCGGACTACAACTTTCCTTCACAGATCTTGCACCAAGACACAATAATAGAAAACAGGTATGTTACATTTATGTTTACGACCCGATTTCGTATGTTCCTCTATTCATCTTACATCAGAATTATTACATCTACGCGATATAATAATTATACATTTGTATTGTTGCAGGTTGCACAGAAATTTTACAGTTTACTTGTACTCAAAAAACATCAAGTGTTGAAATTAGACCAACATGAAACATATGGACCTATTACCATATGCAAGGGTAATCAGTTTGAAACTGAAGCGATTTAATATTGTACTAACACACTATTTATAATAGAATGTAATATAAAGAAGATATCAAGACTAGTTCATAAAAAGATTTTTATGGAGGTGAAGAGATGATGTTTAGTTGTAAAGTTATGGACTTCACGGGAAACGCGTTGAGCCAAAAATAATGTGTAAGTTTGATCTTGTAACTCGAATTCATGACAGCATTTTATTCTTTAAATATTGGACCAAATAATATTACGAGTGTTGATCTCACAAAAAATCTAATTGAAATGAGTTTTGATTATGTGAAACAGTAGTTGTTATCGTGAATTCGATTTACTCGTGATGAGCAGTTTCTATTTGGATAATTATGTTTGATAGAAAAGTGTAGGAAAATGCCTTATTTTGTTTTGCTGTAGGCTAAGTGAAATTATTGTGAAGATGTTTTACAAACATTGTTTAAATAGTCAATCATAGAAAGAAATAGTACCTATTTGCTGTATTGTTGATTCCTGTTTCCTAAATCATGTATGTATGCATGTTTATTGATGCCACAACTACAAAGATTATGTTATGCCTATGACATTTATTTAAATTGTACCTCTCAAGGAAGTGTAGACATTAAATTTTGTTTTTATAAAATATAGCTTGTTGTCCTTCTATTGGGATTAAGAGATTTTAGTGACTGTGTGTTTATATACCAGATGATGTGAAATATTTAGTGGCAGACTGGAGTGATTGAGAGATAAATTATCTAGGAAAATAATACAAGTGATATCCTCAACACCAAATAAAGTTTATAACTGTTTCCTGTGTTAGAATGAATTTGGTTTTTACATTTCTTTGAGATATTTGTCATAATTATTGTGTTATTGTAAAACAAATTGAATGCACACCAAATACCTGATTTATTATGGTTTGAATTCATTTTGTTGCTTTGATATTTTTTGTAAAATTTCTCGATGTAATGCATTATGAATGCCTCAAAAAGTATAGTGACTATTATCATGTACCTATTATTATTTTTATTTGGACATTACTTCTTAACATTTAAGTGTTTACCTCTGCTAAGTACGAAATTAGTACACTTATTTTCCCTTTATGTTCGGAGGTATTCACTTAGATATTTTTCATAAAAAATAAACACATTTGCAATAAATTTGTTGATAAAAAAGAAAGAAATTTTTATTTCATGGCGAGTATATTCTTTCGGTATCCAAAACTGAGTGGGTTGAAGTAAAAATTAACTGTTGTTATTCGAAAACTTTCAGAATTCAGACTTCCTTATTTATTTTTTGCTGTCTCAGATTGTTTTTACTGGCTCGGGGCCTGGGGGCTACTCTTGAATTCAATTTCGATCGATCGACATTGGTATTGTGAAATTTCGTACTTGCTCTCGAGATGCAAGACTAGCGCCCATTGCATCCGTATTGCGTGGATATTGAATGAACTAAATGGTATTAAGTTTAGCTTTATATTCCGTAGTCTGAATGCTATTTCGACAGCTACGGTAGGGGTTGTATTCCCCTATACGTATTATACACTTTGGTTTTGACATTGAATCAATATTGTGATTTCCTTGGATTGAAATTGCATTGACATTGAGAGGGTTTTAAGAGTAAGCACCAAAGAGTATAAAAGTATAGGGGAAAGTAAGCACCCTGAAGGGAGGATAACGTTAGTAGAACGAACGTAGTTACGAAGTATTTATTTTCCATCAAAACTTATATCCGAGTAACGTCACAAGTATCCTGTACACCAGAGGTATCCCAACTACCAACAATCTAAACAATAAATTAATCTATCTTTGTTACCTAATGGTAACTAATGTTTCATAACCTTCCGCCTTTTAATATCCTAATACCTACGTGGGTAGAAGAGATCACATGATTAAAAACAGAAAAGCCAATCAAAAAACTAAATAGGTGCAATTAATGAGGTTAGGGGCTGCTATTTCACATCGTAACGTCCGGTTGGTTCGTCAATTGATGATTTTATTGATGTAAATAGAACCATGGTAGGACAACACACAGAACAATGTAACGTGTATGTTAGGTATTTATGATGTCAAGGAAGCTGCAGTTTTCTATGGTAGGTATATAGTCATTTGCTCCCAAATATTGAAAGCCTATAAGGTAGGTACGTATGTAGTATAAAGATCAAATTGTGTCCAGTATTGATCGGCATGACTGGTTTGTTATGTAACAGGCTTGTTGCAATGTAGGTACCCAGAATGGTTACATATAGGAACTAAACTTTTATTGATTCACACGTGGGTATCTGTAGAACAAAACATAACTGGTAATCTATATGCCTGAAGTTATCTGCGATGTGTTGTAACTACTTATCATAATAATATAGTAACGGCGACGACCGATCGATTGACCTCAAGTCTAGATAGAGGTACCTACTAGGTTTCTATAATACAACTTCCTAGCCTGTAAGCAACTGCTTGTAGGGTATCGACTTTCGCAAGATGCATACTGCGCATGTGACTGCAAAACTTGGGTCAGCTGTTCTTTTTTTGTACAATTAGGTTCATTTTACTTTAAAATCCTGTTCAATTTATATTAGCAACGAGCATATCCTGTAAATAGACAAACTGTAGTTTATACCACTTCCTTAGGGGTGGGTGGTACATAGTTACAAAAATCCATACATAGGATTATTTAGCTTTTAAAAATGTTGACTTGGAAGCTCCTCAGAATTCTTATTGGCTTTGATTAAAATTCTTAGAGCTGTAAAGAGATTAGGGTGATTACGACTACACTACAATAAACGCTCTTGTTGGTTTTGTATCATTTAATCGCCCTACAAATGTACATACAGATGCCGACATTCTTGAACAGGATAAACTCACAATACAAAAATCGATGACAATATTCACGCAAATATACGCAGTCACTGGCAAAACTATAATATTGTCGCCGAACTTTGATATGAGGCTAAAAGTTTAACATGATTCAGAACAATACTCAAAAAAAAAAAGTTTACAATAAATCAGGAATAGAAATAACTGTAGCATCAGAGTTACGATTTACGTACAACATTTTATTTGATTTCCTGGTATTCTACATAATTAAATAAATTGCATTCCTGATGACGCGCACTGGTAAGTGTATCACTTATACACATCAGTCCATGCATCACTATGAGGGTGAGGTTTCCACACATTCGATTCCATGGCCGTCCACTCCAGATAGTAAATCACTGAAACCTCGTCATGTGGGATGGCAGTAGTAGTGTTCTTAAAAGTAAATAGCTTAGAAAGCGAACAACAGCAAGAACGCCATCATAAGACAGAAGAGACCCATAGCCTCAGACAGGGCGAAACCCAAGATGGCGTATGAGAACAACTGCTGCTTGAGGGAGGGGTTCCTGGCGTAACCGATGATTAGGGAGCCGAACACCGTTCCGATTCCCGCACCTGTAAAACATTAATACATTTAGTTAGACACATCACATTATCATAACCATTCTAAGACTACTGTTAACTTGTTAACTGTGACTATGTGTAAAATTATTATTATTTATCTGTTGCAACAATGAGTTACTTAATACTTAATTAATTCACTCGTTATACACATGAATGATGAAAGTAATGTAAAGAATAAAGACTTTCAATGGAGTGTTTCCGTCTGCATCTTTTAACACAAGTGTGTTTAATCTGTCTTCGTAACTGATAATATTAAATGAATGCAGTTTGATTCATGTATTGCAGATTTAGATTTGGTTTAATCACCTCTACTCTGTAAAGCTTCACAAAAAAAACACAAATATTGAAAACGAAAGAATTGCTTTATCATGTGCACTGCTTGGGTATGTAAAGATTACCATAATACTAACTATCATACATTTGTATGCACATTAGTTCATCCCATAAGTCTTTCCTGGTTCTTCCAGTCTTTCAATACACTTTGAACCCTCAACTACTTATGTAAGCAGGAACAGCCAAACTTATTCAGAATAAAAATCAATAAAGAGATGCTTGTGTGTTATGCAATCACTCATGCCAAAATGTTAATTTATTGGGAAGTTAGCATTTTCAAAGACACAAAATTTAAACAGGGTAACTTTAGTGCACTTAAGTAATATAAATCTTATAAAACAATTTAACTTCATTGTATATGTCATTTATACATTGTAGTTGGCATAACAGTGTTAATTCAAATTTGAACAATTATCTTGAGAACATTAAAACTAAGCGAGAACTCTAATGAACAACGCTCAATCAAAATGCTTATTAGAAAGTTTCAGAACTAACCAGAGCCCGCAACTCCGACTGTCGCTGCGCCAGCACCAATGAATTTGGCAGCAGAGTCAATGTCCTTGGTGACAGCGGTGGTCTGGAAGGACCTCACCGCTGACAGCTGAGCTGGAGCAGCGGGGATGTGTGACTGTGTGGGGACTACAGCCAGTGGTCGCACGATGGCTGTGTTGTGGAAGATCTATAACACAAAACATTTTGTCAGAACACCCTTCATAACCTCTACAGTAGTTACACCCTAAAAATCAATACTGCAACCAACTAAAAATAAGAATTCATTAATTATTTAGATAACGATGGTTCCATGGCGCTTATCCATTCAGCTGAAATTGTGTGATAATTATTGTTACCTAATACTGGAACAGAAGTTGGATTATGTAATGATTTATTCCAACTGTGGGTAACATTGTAAGATGGAACTTACTGATAAATAAGGAAATAAATTACTGATAATCAGTCCAATTAACCTATAAGACCGGTAAGTATAACTTCAAAGCTGAAGGAACTTACAAGGTTAAATAATAAAAATGTCACTGCATAAATTGACAAGTCCTGCAGTCGAATTTCAATTAACAATCGATTATAATAAAAAAAAACCAAAATATACTTACGGCAGACCTGGCTGCAGGGGCGATCAATCTGGCGGCAGACAGCATTTTGTGATTTATTTAGGTGCGGCGAGCGACAACTGAAAGAAACCGTACGACTAGATGGGTTAGCTACTCGAGACTAGTGAGTCAAAATGCCTAATGATAGTCCTAAGTTTATGTGGAAGTCACTTGACAGTTTGACCGACGACCGCAGTATGTTACGTAATTTACGGTGCTACGTAACGGAGACTCGGGTACTACAACCTAGACTACCTTGAATAGATAGTAAATTTGGTATCACTGTGCACACAATTTTATGGGCCGAGCTACGGAATGTTACCTCTAAGCAATATAATTGAATGTCGAACGAAAATGGCCGAATCGGCGAGCGGATTCCAACGGGAATGATAGAAGATCTTCTATGACAACTTACGAGTGCACAAATAAATATTAACACTATCACACACTATATGTCCGAATACGCAATCAGAACCACTTTTTATTGTATGATGGCTTCAAATTATTTCATTTTTTCACGATTAGTTATTTCACTAAATTCTGCCGCACTTACCAAAGAACACCGAGAGGGAGGAGACCGGCCTTTGGAATGTTCAATTTCTGAGTGGACAAGTGAAACAGAACACAAATGCCGCATTGCTATTGGTCGATACAGCAGTCAGTTCCGTTCAGTGCTACCAACTGCGGATCAATATGCGCGAATGATAAAATACATTTGAATCTTTTAAGATTAAATTTTTATTGAAGCCATTTTATTAAGAATTAAGTGCATCAAAAAATTTACACATTTTATATATCGCTTACTAATTTATCAAAATTAAATTTGAATAACGTTGTAAAGTCTTGATTATGTCTACAGGTTAAATGAATACAGTGCTGCCATTGACTAGTGCAATACCATTGTACGACATGGCCGTCTTCATGATAAACATCTGTAAATTTAATGGCTGTGGCATAACATTTCCAAGATTAGCAGACTTAATTGAACACATCGAAGATGTCCATATCGGTAAATATTCAATATTATTCTCTATTACAAGTAATAGTTCTTATTTTTAGCATGTAATGTAATCCATGACCCTCCCAATTTACGTCTTATCAATGTGCCAATGTTGTCACCATTGGAGGGTATTTTTGCGTCAATTATAAATAATGATTGGATCGGCACAGCTTTTCTATTATTATTTAATGGTTTGTTTTATTTCTTTTTAGCCTTTTCATGCATGTGGGGAGTTATTTTAGAATGTATTATATTATTATCGTAGCTAACTTCGGGTTACGGAAACAGTCGTCTCGCACTGAACAGCTGATCGGGACCAGCTGATCTGACTATTGTTTGTGGTAGAGAAATTCAAACATTTATTAATATTTTATTTTTCAGATTATGATCCAGCTGTAATAGAACAGAAAGAAGCTTCACAACCAGCATGTATCCCGCTAAGTTATGTCCTAAAGTTTATCTCGGAGGCTTCGAAGCGGGAAAACCAGAACGCAGCGCCTGCTCCCGATGTCCGCCGCCGCCTCCTGTCTGCACCCAAGACTCCTTCAGTCCGCAGCAGCACGCCCACTGGTTACATTTTATTATCTTTATAATTTTCATTTCTTTTTTTATTTTCATTCTGTTTTATTTGATTTTATCGTAGCTATTTACATTAGATGTGGTTTGAAGTTAGTTTGTAGTCTTGTGTGGACACAATCTAATTGCTTATTGCACACACAATATGCCAGGAACTGCTGTATTCTAATACACTCTCTGACACTCTAACGGACGAATATACATATAAAATAATAAGTTCTTCTAGGCTCCAGATAAAAATGTCTGTTCTTCTGAATGGTAAAGAAAATTGTAATAACTGTAATCTAACTACCGCTCCACCCGCAGCTCCATCAACAATACCTGCCTAAAAACTCAATACTTTATGAATTTCTTCAAGAATCATTCCATCAGTTGTTAAATCTACATAAAAATCTGTTCAGTCCGTTTTGAGTAAAGACGCGGCAGAGGACTTTTGTATAATAATTGTATGTTGTGTATAGATATATAATTAATTCGTTTATTCTAGGAAGCGAGATGGATGAGGATGAGCTGGTTAGTCCATCTGAAGACAGCAATGACTCGTGGACGACGGCCGAAGAGTACAGCTCAGAGTTCATACTGCGCTATGGCGTCAAGTAAGTGCACACTCCTTATAATATAATAGTAACCATTTTCTTCTTTTTATGTGTCTACAAAGATGATGAACGAGAGAATCTTTGAATAGAATAACTTTGAAGGAGGTCGTGGTGGCCTGGAGGCTTAAGACTTCTTCTCATGCATTAGGATGCGTGGTCGTGGTCGTGGTCATGAGAAACCTGGCCAATACCAATGTGACATTTTCCGAGTTATTTAAACTTTCTAAAATTATTTAGAATTGACAAACGGTGAAGGAAAACATCTCAAAGAAACCTAAACATGTAATTTTTAATAATACTTTTAAAATCGCCAGCCCGCATTTAGCAACCGTGGTTATTAATGCCCAACCTTCTCCGTGCGAGAAGAGGCTTTGCTCGGCAGTGGGCACTTATAGGCTGTTGATGTGTGATGTGAAGAAGCATGTGATTTCTAAAAACGACTTTTTAACATCGTGTTTATGCTATAGATTTCGCGGGGTTTGCGATGTCTTGCTATAATGTTATGTATACCTGAGCAAGTTGGTCTTCAAGTTGATATCGTATCTGCTGGCCTGGTAATTTGGGTTTCCACTTGTAATGACATTGAATGAAGGCAGACACAGATTTATCAAGAATAGGGGTACCTGTTCAAAACGATTTGTCATCGTCTTCAGCTAGAATATGCCCATCGTTAAACAAAAGTTTCTCTCTTATAAATGGGGTTTTCAAAATCCAGACAGGTGACGAATTGCAGGATTCGGTTACTTTAAGTCAGGATTCTGCTGCCCATCTCTAGATAGTTGGTGATAATTTTAGGTAGTAAATATACAGGTCCAACTGGGTACAACGCCATACTGAAGTTGTCCTTCATTATAGGTTAATTTGATAGGACTATAATATGTTATATAATATGAAACCCAAGTGGTTTTGTTTAGGATGAACGCTAGCGCGTCGTCCGGGGCTCTGGGTCCCGCCGCACAGGAGAAACCATTTGCCTGTCCGGTGCCCGGATGCAAGAAGAGATATAAGAACGTGAACGGAATCAAGTATCATTCCAAGAATGGACATAAAAAGGATGGCAAGTGAGTCTTTGAACTTTTTCGTGGAAGAAGAATTCTATTGGGAATTTTTCTTCTTTTGATTTTAATGTCTGATAATCGAATGAACAGCGGTCATCAACGGTACCTATAAATGGCAGTGAAAACAAATATAATGTTCAAGGGAAATAGGATTGTATATGTAAATTCTGGGTACCTGTACTTTGTCTAGATCTGAGGGCTTAGTACAAGTTTGTTTTACGTTAAAAGTAATCGAAACGTTACCGCGTTCGAAGCTCTGATTGGTTGGTTTATTGGAGCCGGCCAATCAGAGCGCCGAACGCATACTCTGAAGGCTTAGTACGAATTTGTTTTACGTTTACCGAGATCGAAACGTTACCGCGTATAGCCCTGTGATTGGTCGGTTCATTGGAGCAGGCCAATCAGAGCATCGAACACTGTAACGTTTCAATATGGAGTCAGCTGATCTTTGGTAGTTCGGAAAAAGTTACCAATAACATGAAAACAATACTTTGTATGTTCATATCCTCGATGCACACTGTACAATAATTATGCCTGCATAGATTGTACTATGTATTTGAATGTGTGTCAAGACCTTGAAGTAGTAATTAATTCCCGTCTACTATCTGTCTTATTGGATTGTTTTATTAGTCCAATACACGCTATACGTTTTTGATTTCTTATAATGTTTGTCAGAAGTATGTATCGTCATAATTATTTGTCTATCCCGTGGTTTACTTGCCGATGCAATGCATACGATTCGTAATATGATGCACGCAATAAGATATTTCCTTCGATATATCATTACCCATAGTACATTTGTTACCGACATGAATTGGTTTCATGTCCAAATTGGATATATGATCATGATTCACATAATCTTAATTTGTTATAACAAACTGTTAATTTTGGCGAATTTCGAGAATTATAATTATATTGTTTAAATTCGTAGTCTCTTAGTTTTTGTGTCAGATATCCAGATTTCTCCAGTCTGTTTTTAACGCTATTAAAAGTATTTATCTGTTTTATTATTTCAATAGAAAATACCCAGTACTTACGCTTCCCGACCAGTACAATAAAAAGTTTATAACTGGGCCCAAGAAACGCCTCACTGCACAAGAGTATTTCTGGAAAAAATGGGTACAAGTCATAATGTGTATTTGTAGACAGAACCGTACTTACAGTAGGATTCTTTGAGTCTATGTAGGATCATGTCATAATACGTAGAGTCCGTAGAACAATTTATTTGTTAATTATTTGAATAATAATATAATATAAAATAGGGTACTTGTACTATGCAATATCCACGTAAATCGTTAGTCATTAGCATAATTGAAGGACGATAACTTTGTTGATAATGATAAAATATGTAAATTTATATTGGCCTAGCTATTTGTGGTCGCTTTATCTGCACGTAATTAGATCGGTATTCGTATGAATTAATAATTAATTTTATGTCCTCGTACTAAATGAGTCGGTGAAATGTTCCAGGGTAAAAAAGGGCTACAGATGCCCATGCGGCAAAAGCTACAAAACGGCGCAAGGGCTTAAGAGTCACTCGATCACACAGCACATCGCGTCGACATCAGAACACAAGTTGCACGCGGCTAAAATGACGGGGCTCGTGGTGACCAGCTCGCCGGCTCAGTCGAGGACCCTGAACCTGTTAGATGCAGTGGACGGGAACAAGCTGGTGCGTATCTATGACTCGCTGAAGGGGTCGCTGCCCAAGCACGCGGCAGTGAGCGTGGCGCCGGGGCCCGCCGTGCTGGCGCCGAGCGCGGCGCTGCTGGGCGCGGACAAGCTGCGCCTGGAGCGCGCGCCCAAGGCGCCGGCCGCGCACTCGGCGCACCTCGCCTCGCTGTACGGAGCCGACGCGCCCCACTGAGCCCGCGAGCCGCCACTCAACGAATTTAAGTCACTAGTATAGTATACATGCAGTTCCTAAAAAAAGTGAAAAAAAAGTTCATTTTCATTGAATTAATTTATTTACTGTCGTCATATGAAGGTGTGTACCTATGTGTATATCGTTGATTGTGCTTGTGCATGCTTTTAATTTATATCATATTTTGCACAAATACTACCCATCGCACCTTCGTCTACAGAGGTAGGATAATTGTTTCTCAAAGAGATAGGAGAGTTATATTTATTTGTTTTTGTTTGTTTGAGATTTTATGTTGATTAGTGAGTATTTATAAGTTATTGGAACGCTAATTTTTGATTAGTTTCGATTACAAGGAGATGCGGTGGAGAGCCAATATTATTTGATTCTGTTTGTTGATCGAACAGTTATTGAGTTTAGCAGAAGTAGTGATACCAGCTTGTATACTATATACATAATGTTCTATCGTGGTAGACAATGTTGGTCCCCGTAGTTAGCTGCGACGGCTGTGTGATCTGTCGGACGCGGTGTCGTACGACAGATTGTACAAATACAATGTGTGATGTACTGGTCAAGTGTATGTTAGTGTCCCCGCTCGATTATTACCTATATTAAATTTTCTGTGATCTCTAGCGTCGGGGATTATGATTGTGTGTGCTGTAACTTCACGTGAATGTCGTACGACATGTGTTACATCGTACGACATGCCTTCGTATCTCTTTGTGCCATTATTTCTAACATGTGTACTTAATCGTATATTTCACGCGAAACGCTTTACGTTCATAATGGTTTTTTGATAAGATTTCACAATGTTAGATTTTGTAAATTAAGATAAAAAGAAAACAAAGAAAAAATAGCGTTCACTTAAGTATCTTTTTGGAGTTAGAATAAAAGTCATACTCGTAAATGTGATATGGTATTTAGAAAAAAAAGTAAAAAAAAATGCTTATAAGCGTCACGTATTTAAAATACCTAGTTTTTAAGGCTGGCAATGTTTGTTTGTTATTGATATGATAAAATGTACGCTAAATGTGTAGATTTTGGTGCCTTTTTTATTTATTCTTGGTTTTGCAGTGCAAGTACTGATCATACGTTTTTGGAACTTTAGTATAGAGATAGTTTTGTGGCGAAATAACTGGTTGATGAAGACTATTAACTGTTTCATGTTAACAGGTATACAGTACCCAGGTACTTCCTTATTTTAGAACTGTCGGTTCACAAAAGGAGCTTATATTGTAGACGAACTTTGCTACGATTACGTACCAACAGATATATTTATACTGTTTGACTATTTATCTAATACGTAACAATTAAAATAGCCGCTTTAACGTGTTCCTAACATAGAAAAAACTGACTAAAAATAATAAAAATGATATTTTAAACATATAAAAATAATTATATTATACAATTATACTCAAATTAAAGTATGTAATCGTAGCAAATGTTCTTAAAAACATTTAGTTAGGAACTATCAAAATATATCCTTTCGAAATATTGAAATAAATGGCTGGATAATGTTAGGAGAAAATCGGTTGAGGTGCTACCAAAATAGTGATTTGGCGTAAACTGTGAATGATGTTAAATTATAGTGTCTATGTATGTATGTATGTATAACGGTTCCAAAGCGAAATTATATATAAAAGATTAAGATTAGTATGGTCACGGTGCTTAACGGGTAAAAAGTGTGATATTTGGATTATTAAAGTATGTTAGTGCGACTACCAAAGAAGCGACATTTCAACTAAAACTACGATTGCTATTTTTCGCATATTTTAACTCAAATACTGAAATGTTTTTCAATTTTAAGTTGACTTTTAATATCTTTATATCTCTTCACTTAAACTACATCTGTAGCAGATTTATAGAGATTTGGAGTATTCAGTTTACTCACGTAATTTATCGAGGGTGTTCGACTCGTTTCGAACCACACCCGGGGATCATAATTATGAGAAAAATGCGATGTGACATCCTGTTACCAAATGATATAGAAATAGGTTTTAAAGTTATCTTAAAATTGAGTATATTTCAGTGTTTAAGTGTGTTTCACAACCTTGTCTTATGAACGAACGATACGATAATAGTGTTTATGAAAAATTAATGTTTTTTTTGTTTATTGTGCCTTACTATTATCCCTATGTTTTGTTTGTTATTTGAGTGCATTGTGCAGGGTGGAAGGGACATAAAAAAGCAAATTGAAATATTCACTTCATAGGTAACTATTTGAAAATGAAGATTGAACTAATCTTAAAACAGTTTTTATTTTTACTATGCTTAATATACAGTGATATACAACCAAAGTTGTTATTTTTCGACTGCTCCGTTGGCCCGGGTCCCGGGTTCGATTCCCGGGACGGGCAAAGTATTACTGGGTTTTAAAAAAATCTCATTACTAATATGTAGTAATATGCTCACACCCTATTACATGGGACTCATAACATAAATAGTGAAAAGTGGGTGTTACATTGTACATTGGCATTAAGTGCCGTAATGTACACCTCTGCCTACCCCTTCAGGAATAAAAGGCGTGATTTTATGTTTCTATTTTTACTATGATTAATATACAGTGATGTACATGCAAATATATATGACCAAAGTTATCATTTTTCTAGTTTACCAAAATTGGAGAGAATTGTCTATCACTGATAACTAAGTGCTGTGTAATCTTACTAAGGAGAATTAGTATTTGTGCTGAAGCTATTATTTCAGTTTGTTTTTATACCTTCCTTTTATAAAATTAAAAATGTCGTATTCAATTGAGGGTGTTCAAAGAAAGAGTGGGTTTTGTAAACTGAATGTGACTGATGAACATAAAATGGAACTTATATTTCAGAAGATATTTAAGATATTTTGCATTCGGTGAAGAAACCCATAATTTCGTCTATATTAAATTTTAACTGTGCACTTGAATGTAGTAAGATTCATTTTACATTGCCACTTAACGAAATGATGCTGAATGTTTGAAAATAAATTGTGCATAGCATATTGAACTTTATGTCCAACGGTACTTGCAGAGATTCCTATAATAAGTATATTAAAACGGTATTTTTTATTAAAATGTACCTTACGTTTCGTGGCAATGTAAATTGGGCTTTAATGTTTAGGCGACTGGATCTACATTGATATAACCTAATTAAGGGTTATTTCACGGGGTACCAGTCGCTTGAATATTAAAAAAGAAATGATAAATGTGATCTAAACGACGTGATATGACTGGGGATGAAGGCTGCAAATTAAAAGATTCGCGATATAAATAAAAATATTATAAACTACGTACCCGCCATCTTGCGGGAGTTCGGAGAACTAACGCATCGGTTACATTCAAATTATTATATTGCTATTCACTTAGGGTCAATGAATAAACACGATGAGATGGGAATTTGAAGTTTAATACCTTTCAATAATGTTCAGTTCTCATTGACAAATTTCATTTTGATCAAATTATTAGTCGTTACTGGAAAATCAACTTAGTCTCTAAAGAGATAAGATCATTTTTAGTGGACAATAACAGCTGTGTCTCGTCTCATCGGATTTACTTTAGTTCGTATAATGCCATTGTATGAGGCAACTATTAAAATGACGTGTCGGGGGAGCAAAGTATCTCATGAGTGTTAAAGTTGTACTATTCGAATCGTTCATTGATATTGTAGTCGATTTTTGTTTATTTGGAAACCAATACTACACTATTTTTATAGAAATGGTCGAGATACACTGCATAGATTCGCTCTATCAAGATTGTCATAATGGGGCTGTCATTAAAATATCGTATTTTTTTAAATAGCACCTATTTTTACGATTTTTGTTTAGGAACTTTTGAACAATCTACTAAAGTAGGTTAATATCAAAATCTGATCAATGGTTTAGTTAAGCAAAGAAGACAAACATTGATTTTAATTAAACATTAGAAGTACCTATATTTTATTTAGGAACATGGTCTATCTAGTTCCGAATTACAGTGGAATATGCAGTAAAAGAATACTGAAATAATTGTAAAAGACAGAAATTAATAGATCTCGGCCATATTAAAAAAACCGTGTCACTTCCATAATTTTACCCAAAATATGATATGATTCGATTCCATAGATGTGACGTAGTTTTAATGTAAACGTGTTTAATGTATTAATTGTAACATTAAAATAAAAATTTTAAATAGAACATTATATTTCCCAATATTTGATTTGCTTAGAAGCTGAAGCTGGCTTCAAATTATTAACTGTTTGTCTGTCTGTCTGTAGCATTACTTTATGTACCTAACCAAAGTATATTTTGATTTTAATTTAAACATGTTAACAAACCTTATTTTAATTAATTTTGAGTTCTATGTCTGAGACTCATAAGTGTCATTTTAATTTAATAGCATCTTAGAATCAGATGAGTAATTTAAAGTGTCCTAATTGCAATTCTTTTGCAGTTACCATCGCTCTTATTCTAAATGCAATAGAAGTGAAAATTGTTTGATAGAATTACTAGTAAGGTTTGTTAAAGTATGTTTTCAGTGGAAAATATAAATTAGTTATGCACATTTCGTAGATTTAGCGTATTGTAAACGCAGTCTTATTGTTATGTGGATTTATTTTACTGTCGTATATGCTCATTTTAATATTAATATAGTATCGTCTTATTATAGTTTCAAAGAACATTGTTAGTCATGTTTAATTTAAGACTGATAGTTCGATTATAGATTTATCTCCTTAATTTATTTTGTGTGCATACGTAGAAAGACATTTTTTTACTGTGAAGAGGATTTCAGTGTAAATGAAAGTAATGTAAAAGTTAACCAATGAAAATGTGAACTAGAATTATGCAGACTGTTACATTTGAACAGTATGTATGACCAATTAACTGATATATTACTATTGACGTTGCTCTGTATTATTATTTTGCCAGAATTGGGAATTGTTTATAGCAGTACCTATAATGGCCATACCGTACCGAGCTACCGTATTTTAGGTCACCATGTGGCGCGTGTAATGTAAGAAGAGTTTTGTCCAATTACAGCAGCTGTCAAATATGATATGACACTACCTAATCTCCTATTGGGCGAAAGACGAGAGGTTCACAATAGCGTAATTTTATGCGCAAAAATATGGTAGGCCCTACAATATACCATTGATGTTGTTCTATATATTTATTTTTGATAGAATTTTTCAAAGTCAAAGTCAAAATCATTTATTTCAATTAGGCCAGAATGGCACTTTTGAACGTCAAATTGAGAATTAAATTCGTAAAATGTCTAATAGACGTGTTGGACAGTCTGCATAGTTTTAAAGATGTAATGAGGCATCCAATGCTTTATAATTATTGAAACGTTATTTTTAAAATGTGTCTAGTCTCCAAGAGTAAAAGTTGATTAGTGTCAAAGAGATTGAGATCTGTGTGTGTCAATTAGAAGAGAAAGAGAAGTGACCAATTTTAAAGTTGTTGGTTAGGATGGATAAAAATTTGAACGAGTTTTGTAAGTCATTTGGTACACAGTGAAACGCATGTCAATGATATCCTCAATGTGATTATTTTAACAGCTCAAGAAGTTTTCCATTCAATTTAATACATTTGATTTTTTAATTAATTATCCGTTAATGGTTGTGAATAATGTATGACTTGGTCGGTGAAGTCATATATCTGTCTTAATGGCAGCGACACTGTTACCTCTAGCCTTAATAATTCAGGGATATTGGCCTTATTTTTACCATGCAAGCTTCAATTATTTCTGCTTGTCATAAAAAGCTTAAATATTTGATAGTGCTGCTAAATAAATCGATAATCACTTATGATAGTGCGGTGTCGCTGCTTATCGACTATCGATGTTTCTAGCTCTATATGGCTGTATCAGTGTGGCTTTGTAATTGTATGTGTAAAAGCTGACATAGACTATAGAGCACCGACTGTCACCGATTTAAAAATAAATAAATAATATAAACGTGGATGTCAGTGTCCCTTTGTATTTGCCAATTTAATTGATTTTATTCCATGTTTATAGTGATCCTTTGACATGTCTCCAATGCTTTTTGTATAACTAAGTTCAATGTCTGTATAACTATTTAATATTATATTCAAGTTATATAAATGTCAAAGGGTTGAATATCCTTCAGATATCAATATGATCTTTTATGTATCAATACGGAGATGTAAGTCTGTTATATAACAATAGTAATTTCCTACACGCTTACTATAAAATATGTAATTCTGTATATGTACTAAATAGTGCGCAATACCATGTAACGCATGATTACTTCCATCGTCTTGATAATAAAAGCAAACAGCAACCATATAAATTGTTTTATTTAAATATAAAATGGCATGTTTACAAGCTTATTCAATAAATACAGGATAATATTAATTTATACAGTACAGTGCATAAAATAAACGATTTGCTAAAATATAATAATATACATCTTTAGTACCTTGAGAATATATTTATTGAGGGCTTTCTCTATCCTGAAAATCGGTTACAATTAATTAATAAAAGACGAATTTTTTTTACATATCTACACGAAAAAGGATTAAACTAAAAAAAACCACTTCAATCCACTACTACACCCAAGGTCGTTGAAAAAGGACCAGACCTAACCCTATAGCACAAGGGGCGGGCACACGACACGTAATCCGACACTGGCCACTCAGAATTATCGTTCAGACCCCTCAGTACTGACACAAACAACGCAAAGGATACAATAAGGCAATAAGAGTTAGATATAAGGTACCACGAGTATTATGAAATATCACTCATTAACTCGTCGAGTACCGGTTTTATAGACACAATTAAAGAACAATAGATAACTGTCAAACACCAAGCGGTCACCGGTGACCGCTTGGTGTTTGACAGTTTAATATTTCTTATCTTATTTTTACTTGCAATATTAGTGGAAAGTATTTTTTTGTTTACCTTTTTCTAGTGAATAGTAAAATATGTAAGGCAACGTCTTCTTATTAATGAATCGTTTTAATTTTAAAAGCACTTACATTACATTCGTATTACATACATTATACAGTTATATTGGAGTTATTAGGCATCAGAGGCGTTTCCTTGTCTATGAAAACCCTAACTGAATTAAATAAAAAATTTTTGACTCATATTTGAATAATAATTTCAGCCTAACAGTACATTATAGTATGTTTACTTTTTGGTCGGCAATCGTTCGAGTAGCGAGGAGATCTTAGCGTGTTTGGTAGTTTCGTTCAAGGGACATTTATTTTGCACAAATAGCAGAGCACTCTCGTCCTTCTGTTCAAATGCCACTTCTGCCGCTTCCTCGTAGAACCTGTAAAGATGAATTAAAAGTCTAAATAACGTTCTATAACTATTTTCTTGTACGATATACTGTTTCTGATTGAGACTTATCTGTTTCACTTGCTAATCTCTAGAATTTATTATTTAGGAATAATTAATTAACTAAAAATCGCGGGTAATTCACGTGTTGCTCGAAACTAGTAGAGCTTTTCTCAGTATGAGCCACAGAGGGGCGCAGCCTACACTGTCTGTCAGCGACATCGCTGTTACGTACTTATTATAAAAACCAAAAATAATGAATTTAGCGCCTCATAATTTCGTACGCCCCGTACATTTCTTTTGTAATCGATAAACTGCATTGGGAAAGTAATAAAGGTCGTAAGGTGGCGCTGGATCCAAACCTTTTCTAACCGACCAATCTAGAAGTCTGAGAGAAACTAATGTTCAAGACTGGACATTTTGTGGCGAATACAATGATGACGGTATTGTTATATTGGACAAAAGCTAAATTCTAGTAATTCTTACCCAGCTTTAACATAATATTTGACTTTGATATCATCGCTGCATCGTGGCAGATACTTGAGAGCTTCATCTTGTTTGCAGTACTTTAGACAAGCGTCCACGAACGGTTCGTACCCAACCGGTGACTTTTTAGATTTCGAGAATCTTTCTAGTTCTGCCCAATCATCCTTCTCAGCCAGGGTTAGGATGCGTAACCACCAATATCTGTAAAAGTTTATTTTTAATAGTTAAAATACATAATTACCCTCCCCTTCCCCAATCTCCCCAATCCCTGAATCCCCATCGATCCTCAAACTCCTAATTCCCAAAAAGCAGGTAACGCACTTGTAACGCCTCTGGTGTTCCAGGTGTCCATGGGCGACTCCGATTGCTTACCATCAGGTGATCCGTCTGGTCATTTACCGGCTTATGCCATAAAAAATAATAATCATTGACAAGATGCCAAGTAGTATACATAATTATTTTTTGATGTATCGTTTAAAAAATACGTTGTCTATGATAATTGTGTCCCATAGGTTAAAAAATTCATTTAACTTTGTCCAATTTAAAGTACCAATCGACATTTTTTAAGTTCTGAGGAGGGCATAACGTGTGCAAACCAAAAATCCTAACAAAACATTTTGCCCTCCCTTCGAACATATATTTTTTTAAACTAACCTTCTATCAGGCATTCTGTATTCGGACCGCAGTTTGTCAGCGAGTTTGGTCTCCCCTTGTTCTAGTAGGGTTCTGACGGAGTCGTGTAGGGAGAGGCCTACAAAGCTGGTTCCATACGTCTCCTGTAGACTCGACTGTTGTTTGCATAGCTTGCGACCATCCTCACAGATAGAGACTCCTGGAGAATAGAATAGAATAATTTATTGTATACTAGCTTTTACCCGCGGCTTCGCTCGCGTCACAAAAGAATAAAAAGTAGCCTATGTGACATATACCAATACACACAGCGCCATCTATACCAATACTTTTGTTTTTCCTCGGGAATATCAATTTTTTCCGGGTTAAAAAGTACCCTATTATTTAATCCGGACTTCTAACTTTACGTCTGCAAAAAGTCAAAGCAATCGGTTGAGTAGTTACGGCGTGAAGGTGGAACAAACAAACAAACTCACTTTCAGATTTATAATATTAGTAAGGATGTTTTAATACTTTAACTGCCAAGTTTAAAATGGTGAAAGTCAAACCTCCACTAGCGTCAGGCACCGGTGACTGACGTGGCGCTCTAAGGGTTAACACATAAATGTATATGAAAAAAAAAACAGTAATCTTATTTTGATGTGTTTTTATCAGTTTAAGAAAATAATGAACTTTTACCGATCCATTTTAGACGTACCACTAATAGAAAAAATAGAAATGACGGGAAGTAGGACAACAGTGTCTTCACTCGACTCAACCACAATAACACTGACAGCACAGACACATTAAAACAAGCAAAAATAGACCTTAAAACTCCTAAAACAAAAACGACAATACAAAAACCTCACCTAGATCATTCTTGCCCTTCTTATAGCACTCCCTAGCAGATATAAGAGACGCCTCAATGCTCCCCGGGTTGGTTTGTTCGATAGCATCACGTATGTGTGTGGCAGCTTGACCTTGGAAGTCGTCTTCTTGTACGTAAACTTGGCGCAATGCTTCCCTGTTGTTGTTCGCGCAGTATTTTATGTAGAGAGCGTGGGCGAGGGAGAAGCTGCGTATAGTCAGCTAGAAGAAAATATATTAAATATGGTAAGTATTTGTGTTGTGGTTGTGTGCAAGGGTTGACTTGCTCATTAATATAATTATAAATATAACATCACGCCTTTTTAGCCCCGAAGGGGTAGGCACTTAATGCCACTGTACAATGTAACACCCAATTTTCACTATTTATGTTATGAGTCCCAGGTAATAGGGGGCGAACCTATTGCTATATACCGGGCACAATTCTAGACTCCGTGCTACTACTGAGATTTTTTTTAAACCCAGTTTTACTTAATAAATATGTCAGATATTACTTTATCTGGCATAAATATGGAAGTTAGGTTGGCATTAAACAAGTTTCCAAGCTTATGTGTAAATCACAATCATGGTGCTCTATGGATGATACTACAGCACGCCACGCGGACTCCCGCACCGTGCGCCTAACGCAGCGCACGGCCTTATAAATCACAATTAATGTTTAAACTGCATAGGATTAAGCCAGTGTCTAATTTAGGGGTGTTTGTCCATATCTGTGGTATTAATAAAACTTGAGCTTTCTAAACAAGAAAGCTCAAGTTGATAATGAGAATACAAACAGTACATACATACAGGGTGTAAACGGAACGTCTCCGAAAAAAGCTGACATAAACAAAATAGTTTTAACAATTTTAATCGTTTTTATTTCCGTGTTATTTATGCAACATCACCCTTGAGCAGTTGATTACAACGATTATTAGATAAAAGAAACATTAAATTCCTTACTTTTATGAAAATAAAACTTATTTTTCACTATCACATGTCGGCGTTTTTCGGGAGCGTTCGGTTTACAACGTCGTCAATGATAGTGAGCCTTTTTGGTTCAAGAGACATAGTCATCATCTAGAACAATAATATAAACTTGATATACTCACTTCAAATTCCCGTTTGCCCATCTTTTCTTTAAGATGTAATAGTACGATGTATATTAGATCTGTATCACCGCTAGCCGTAGCTTTCAGTAAAGCGGTCGGCCCTTCGCCCAACGTCAGGAGTAATGGAACTTGTAGTTTGCTGTGAGTTTCATATTCTAATATCTGAAATTACAAATAAAAAAGTTAGAATTCGTTGTTAAAAACATATTATTATTATTTTTGCGATTCTAAAGTAACAAAACTTTATATCGAACAAGTCAGACTTGAGAGTTCAGTAGACAAGATAAATAATAACGTATAATATGCAAAAAAATATAATAGACTGTATAAAACCTCTTCATACAGCAATTACAAGAAAAGAAGTAACCCACAGAACAATTTATTTGTTTATTAAATCTTAATAAAATTGACAATACATCATTAGCACCCTTTTCATAAATATAGTTATCATACTTACGCCCGAATACTAAAAGACTTCTAAATTTTTTTGTCAATTCACAAAGAATTTGTAGTTTTTAAAAAACGTTGCCCCCCTCTAGGACATTCCTGTGTCGTGGGTGCATTTAAAAAAATACAAGTTCACATACACATGACACCCAGACCCGGAACAACAATCTGTAGATCACACAAAGACTTTCGTGCGGGAATCGAACCCGCGACACGTTGCGCGGCAGCCCAGCCAGCCACCGCGTCAACCGTCGACAGAACAATACTTAATTGATAGTGACAGAACAATAGTTAAAATTGAGTAGGTAGTGTTTCAGTATTCGGGTTATAATATCTAAATGTTTTGTAACTCACTTTGATAGCAAGTGCTTTCCTTCCCTTCTCGGCGGCTTTCATAGCGATGGTAGTGTATGATATACCGGGCACGTTGCGCAGCTTGTCGCCGATCTCTCGCGCCGCGCTCTCGTTGTCCAAGTGAGGTTGAGTCACCTGAAATGCCAGATAAGATATGTAATCTTTATATATATAATTCTTCTGTGAGTGCGTATGTCACTGAACTTCTCTCGAACGACTGGACAGATAATGATGAAATGATTTTTGTGTGTGTTCAAGGGGATCTGGGAATGGTTTAGATTCACAAATCAGCCCGGCAGATGGCGCTGCTTAGATTATTTATCCTAAACATCTGAACTAATTTGAATGAATTTTTGTTTATACATTCAAGTGGATATGCAGGACAACGTCTGTCGGGTCCGCTAGTATTTACATACAATTGTCGTACATCAATTTTTCACGTGGGTATTGTAAGAGCCTGATAAACCTACATTTTTCAAATTGTGACTTTCGTCAACCACCCACATCTCGCGGGATATAAAGTTGTAAGTGTGGGAGAGCCATGCTTCGGCACGAATGGGCCGGCTCGACCGGAGTGATACCACGGCCTCACAGAAAACCGACGTGAAGCAACGCTTGCGTTGTGTTTCATCGTGTGAGTGAGGTTACCGGAGGTCCAGTTACCCCCCCAATTTCCCCAATCCCCGAATCCCCAACAATCCTCAAACTTCTAATCCCGTAAGGGCCGGTAACGTACTTGTAACGACTCTGGTGTTCCAAGTGTCCATGGGCGACGCCGATTGCTTACCATCAGGTGACCCGTCTGGCTTATGCCATAAAAAGTAGCCTATTTGTGTTTTTTCTTTCTCTCTCCAAATGTCACGTGTGCACCCGTTGGATCATAAGGAACGCGGACGCTCGACGGGTTAAAAAGCCTTTGTGAGGTTGACGAAAATTAAAAAAAGGCATGATGGAAAAATGATGTATGAAATGAAGGTTTACCTTATAGCAAGCCCAGTCAGACAGTACCCTGGTCCTTCCATCCTTGAGCTGCAGATAGGACGCGATGTGCACCGCCAGGCAATGTAGGCGACGTCGTATTAGACGCTCCAGGAGAACGCGCTCGCCTAGGTTTGTCATTCTAGTTAATTTGTTCAGGGTATTATCGTAAAATTGTATTTTTATATTCTGTTCTTGTCATTATAAACATCGGTAACTAAACATGTGTTAAAATTCAATAACAGAAGTTCATTACACTTAGCTTAAAAACTGATAGCTGAAATTTCCATCATCACGACGTGCAGAAACTCTTATAAAAGTGGTTAAAACTTTAAACCGTATTTTAATAGATAGGTATAAGAAACGACATGCCATTACAGCTTCCTTCATGTCTTATACTGTGATTTGAAAATTATAAATATCTAGGTTAAACTGTTGAAATATCATCCTCTAAATTTGTTCATACAAAAGTAGTCTCTAAACATCGGAAATAAGGTCTATAATGTAGTTAGTGGAGAGCGGTCACCGGTGACCGCTTGGGGATAAATGGGTAGTAAGAGTTTTCTCACTGTATTTAGATTTCATAAAGGATACTGCACAGAAGTAAGTGGTATGCCGACTTTAGGGTCTCGAACAGCGTTCAAAACCCTCAACCATCTGCAGGTCTTCACATAAAGGTCTGTTAGCTCAGGGTCCATTATGAAGCACTTGCCAAACTGGGCGGCTCTGATCAACATCTTCTGAACTTCAGGGTTGAACTCGAAGGCAGCTGCTTCTATACAGTTCTGTACTGCTGTGGACAGATTCGGTTTCACCAACCTAATGTACTCATCTGCTCTGTGACTGTGGTTCTGAAATTTAGAAAAACAAGTATTTGTAATATAATTATGTATAAAAGAAATTGGAAATCGATGTAAACAATAGGGTAGATGACTAATATTTATTTTAATATCCGTCTGGTAGATTATTTTAAATCATTAGACACGTATTTTTTTACAGAAACGAATACTTTCGACGATATATTGATTTAAAATGTCGCGTGACGTAACTTCTATGTACATTTTATACGTAGAAATGACGTTTTAGCCCCCACTCCTAAACTTTGATTCGTTATATATAAGTATAATTTTATTATACAACAAAATAAAAAAATACGTGTCTAATATTTTTTCATTACATAACTAACCGACTAGATTTTCTTTTACCTTGACATTTACTTTTTATTTTACAATAATAATTGTTAGTGCTAGGACCGTGCGAGATTTTGCCTCACCATTTCTTTTCTAATTACCCATATTCTGACAGTTTGAGTATTTGTGCGACCCACGCAAATGTTCTTAAGGTTGGTGTTGTTCGTCGAATCAGTCAGCCTCAACTGCTAATTGAGCTGATTGTAAACCGACACATGCGTACTGCCTTCAGAGCGGGTCCGCTCAAACTCTTGTGGTTGTTTCCTCAGAAGGCCACTACAGAAAGAGCTTGTACGGTTCTCACACATAACACACACACTTTTATACACATTTGTCTGGACTTTAAAAAAGACAGACTTCTGAGTTTGTTTCGGCATTTCTTTTCAGAGTAGTCAGTTAGGAAATATCTGCCTCATTGTTCGCTTGATAAAATTGACGTGTAAAAGTGCTGCCTTGTAGCCTATTTGACGCGACGCGATACTAATCCCTAAGTGTCTCCTACTATCTCTCGAAAATGATAGAGGATACTCAATAGATATCGTATAACTCTCAAAACTTATCTTTTTTTTTTTTAAACGTTGCCCCACACTAGGATTTTCTCCTGTGTCGTGTTAGATAGTTTTCGAGGACGCTCGATAGTGATCGAGGACGCTCGAAAGTGATCGAGGACTCTCGATAGTTTTCGAGGACGCTCGATTGTTTTCGAGGACGCTCGATTGTTTTGGAGGACGCTCGATTGTTTTCGAGGACGCTCGATTGTTTTCGAGGACGCTCGAAAGTGATCGAGGTCTCTCGATAGATTTCGAGGACGCTCGATAGTTTTCGAGGACGCTCGATAGTTTTCGAGGATGCTCGATAGATTTCGAGGACTCTCGATAGTTTTCGAGGACGCTCGATAGTTTTCGAGGTCTCTCGATAGATTTCGAGGACGCTCGATAGTTTTCGAGGATGCTCGATAGATTTCGAGGACTCTCGATAGTTTTCGAGGACGCTCGATAGTTTTCGAGGACGCTCGAAAGTGATCGAGGACTCTCGATAGTTTTCGAGGACGCTCGAAAGTGATCGAGGACTCTCGATAGATTTCGAGGTCTCTCGATAGTTTTCGAGGACACTCGAAAGTGATCGAGAGCTCTCGATAGATTTTGAGGACGCTCGATTGTTTTCGAGGACGCTCGATTGTTTTCGAGGATGGTCGAAAGTGATCGAGGACTCTCGATAGATTTCGAGGTCTCTCGATAGTTTTCGAGGACGCTCGAAGTGATCGAGGACTCTCGATAGTTTTCGAGGAAGCTCGATAGTTTTCGAGGATGCTCGATAGATTTCGAGGACTCTCGATAGTTTTCGAGGACGCTCGATAGTTTTCGAGAACGCTCGATAGTTTTCGAGGACGCTCGATAGTTTTCGAGGACGCTCGAAAGTGATCGAGGACTCTCGATAGATTTCGAGGACGCTCGAAAGTGATCGAGGTCTCTTGATAGATTTCGAGGACGCTCGATAGTTTTCGAGGACGCTCGATAGTTTTCGAGGATGCTCGATAGATTTCGAGGACTCTCGATAGTTTTCGAGGACGCTCGATAGTTTTCGAGGACGCTCGATAGATTTCGAGGTCTCTCGATAGTTTTCGAGGACGCTCGAAAGTGATCGAGGACTCTCGATAGTTTTCGAGGACGCTCGATTGTTTTCGAGGATGGTCGAAAGTGATCGAGGACTCTCGATAGTTTTCGAGGATGCTCGATTGTTTTCGAGGACGCTCGATTGTTTTCGAGGACGCTCGATTGTTTTCGAGGACGCTCGATTGTTTTCGAGGACGCTCGAAAGTGATCGAGGACTCTCGATAGTTTTCGAGGACGCTCGATTGTTTTCGAGGACGCTCGAAAGTGATCGAGGACTCTCGATAGATTTCGAGGACGCTCGATAGATTTCGGGGACGCTCGGTTGTTTTCGAGGACGCTCGAAAGTGATCGAGGACTCTCGATTGTTTTCGATGACGCTCGAAAGTGATCGAGGACTCTCGATAGATTTATAGCAAAAATGTTCATTTTCATTTTACATTTCTTTAGTTGTGTTGTGGTGGCCAGGAGGTTTAAGAAGCGTGGTTCTCATGCATGAGAGTGCGAGTTGCAACGGCAAAGTACCAATGTGACTTTTTCGAGTTATATATATTTTCTATTTATTATTTAATAATCTAAGAAAGTACAAAGACACCACTGACAAGCGGTGAAGGAAAACATTGTGAGGAAACCTGGGCTTATAATTTCTAATTATAAGTTTGAAATCACCAACCTACATTAAGCTAGATAGTTTTCGAGGATGCTCGATAGATTTCGAGGACTCTCGATAGTTTTCGAGGACGCTCGATAGTTTTCGAGGACGCTCGATAGATTTCGAGGTCTCTCGATAGTTTTCGAGGACGCTCGAAAGTGATCGAGGACTCTCGATAGTTTTCGAGGACGCTCGATTGTTTTCGAGGATGGTCGAAAGTGATCGAGGACTCTCGATAGTTTTCGAGGATGCTCGATTGTTTTCGAGGACGCTCGATTGTTTTCGAGGACGCTCGATTGTTTTCGAGGACGCTCGATTGTTTTCGAGGACGCTCGAAAGTGATCGAGGACTCTCGATAGTTTTCGAGGACGCTCGATTGTTTTCGAGGACGCTCGAAAGTGATCGAGGACTCTCGATAGATTTCGAGGACGCTCGATAGATTTCGGGGACGCTCGGTTGTTTTCGAGGACGCTCGAAAGTGATCGAGGACTCTCGATTGTTTTCGATGACGCTCGAAAGTGATCGAGGACTCTCGATAGATTTATAGCAAAAATGTTCATTTTCATTTTACATTTCTTTAGTTGTGTTGTGGTGGCCAGGAGGTTTAAGAAGCGTGGTTCTCATGCATGAGAGTGCGAGTTGCAACGGCAAAGTACCAATGTGACTTTTTCGAGTTATATATATTTTCTATTTATTATTTAATAATCTAAGAAAGTACAAAGACACCACTGACAAGCGGTGAAGGAAAACATTGTGAGGAAACCTGGGCTTATAATTTCTAATTATAAGTTTGAAATCACCAACCTACATTAAGCTAGCGTAGTGATTAAACTGTCAAACACCGAGCGGTCACCGGTGACCACAACCTATTGTTCTTTAATTGTGTGTATAATTACGGTACCTACTCAATGACTTAATGCTTAAACCTAATCCAGTGAGAAGAGACCTTCGGTCGGCATAGGCCACTTATAGACTGTTAATGATGAAACTGATGATGATTTTACTTATTTGACTTACTTATTAGAAATTAAACCTTACACGCGTGCTAAGCAACCAGTTTTCAGAAGAAATACTTTCTCAAAGAGCTAAGCTTAAAGTTTAAATCGAATTAACTTAAAGACTATTTGTATATCAGGCCTCTGCCTCGAATCTTGATTTTACACATTAAATCTTGCGACTGCCCGCAAGATTTAAGGTGAAGTGAGACATTAGTTTTATCATATCCGCCACAAGACTTCCACTTCTAAATGTAGGCCTTCTACCCAATGACAGTCGCTCACAATATTAATTTGCATTTTCGTAGGCACCTAGTAAATGAAAAAGATTGTAAAGCATACTCTGTAAAACTCTATAGTTACATCATACTTGCTGAATTAACAGTTAATTAATTTACTCATAATACAAAGTGTAATAGTCACTTGAGTAGCGAGCAGTGTTTAGAGTTTATACTCGGAATTTTAATTCGATTCCAGATTTGACAATTTCAGTGTTGCAACGTTATGACAAGTACTAAATAGTGACGTTGCGAAATTATTCGATATGGAAATGCAATATATCTGGATCGATTCTTCTCGTTTATAATTTTACTGTAGTAAACTAAGTATATCAGGAAATTAAATATTTCTAAACCGATAATTTAGTTTTGACGATTAATTAACGATCTGAGACTTTTCTTTTATAATTGTGTGTGAAATAAATAAAAAAATGTAATCATGAAGGAACATGACAAATAAAACAGATAGATGTATCATGGTAATAAGTTATTTTATAAATTGTCGCCGTCATCGCTATCACTATCCTATCACTTTCTGTAACATTTATTATAAAACACACACACCGATTGTTTATCGATTTTTGTGTGCATCACTACAATATTATATGTGGTATTATTATTTCACAAAATGACAGTAGCTATTGTTAAATCTGGAATCTAATTAAAATTCTGACTATAGTTTGCAAACAAAACAAGTTAAAACAACCAAATAAATAAGTCCACATTGACATTTTTCAATTGACTGTCATCTGTCATTTGTCATATTATGTACTTTTGCGTAAAGGTGGCATTATACTTGACGTTGCGTATTTGTTGTGTTCGGCCAAAACAAACCATGGGTTTATTCGTCTTCATTTGCTATATACATATATTTGCACGCTCTTACATTTATAGATACTATTTGGACGCCATTAGTACGTAGTTCACAAATATTTGTACAAATGAAGCGAATACGCAATGGCAAGTGTAATACCGCCTTTACGTACCTTTTGCACATTTTCAAAGTGAAATAACTTTTGAACTCAAAGTTCTAAAAATATGTAATTTTTTTCTAAACTTCATAATAAAAATATCTATCGTTCAGATCATTTACTTGGTAAGAACAATGACAAATACAAAATTTTATAGCCGTACAAAACCTCCATACAATCCTGCCATTCTCCTTTCATATGCTGTCATCATCCCTATTGTAAATGTAAATACTAAGGATAATAGACATATTTTATTTGTTCAATGGTTGTATTATTTAATTTCTTTTTATACCACGAAAATTGTAGTTAAGGGAAGATTAACAGTAAAATCTGACAAGGGATCTTAGAGTATAATGTGATACATATTTGGTGGTTTGTGGCGTGCAGATGTCAGTCACTTCGAGTAAAATATTATCAGCTCAAAACCATACCTGACCTTTATAAAGAAAGCTTATACATATATTTTCTAGAACCTATACAAAAATGAAAGTATTATTTTAATCTCACCTGGAACTGTCTAGAAGCTTCCAACAAATAAGATTCAGGTGCGACACTATTTATTCTAAATATCCTTTCGACCACAAAAGGTACTTTTTGTATGAGTTCATGAGTCATTTCGGAGACGACTCGGACGCACTCGATTTCTTGTATAAGGTGAAAAGGTCCGTCGTATGGATACTGTGATGATTGGCCCTTGGTCGAACCAAATATGGAGAGGGTGTCGTCCCAATGTCCTACTACAGCTTGTGATCCGCACCTTGAATTATTAGAATTAAATTTTACGATTGGTTCAAAATGGATATCTAGAATTAAGGGTAAAGCAGCTAAAAATAAAAATGGAACTTCAAAAATAAAACAGTAACTTATATTGCTATTTGAATTTTATATGTAAGTATGTACTTCTTTTTATTGAAGTTAACTTTTCCTTTTGATCAACTAGTGATTTGCGAGTGAACAAGTGCGGTGCTGATCGCTTACCTTAGGCTTAGGAAGATGCATGTGCCAGTTCCCACTCCAATAAAAAAAAAACTTTACTCACCACATCAATTCCTTTGGCTGTTTGATGTACCCGGTGTCAATTTCTGAGTAAGTAGTCTTGAAATCAGACGATCCAGTCCATAAGAAACCAGAATCAGTAAACAAAGCTACATGTTTGCCGTTTTGCGAAGATACTATGGACAAGATTTGTGTATACGGATTTTTTATATCCGGACGCTGAAAAATATAAAGTAAATAGGAAATATAGTGAAACAAATATAAAAAATAACTATAAAAATGTAATAACAGCAAAAAGTCAACGTCACGCAGTGTTCCCAGGCGGTCCACCCATCCAAGTACTGACTGCGCCCGATGTTGCTTAACTTCGGTGATCGGACGAGAACCGGTGTTTTCAACATGGTATGGACGTTGACGACTGTTAAATCGAAATTATTGACCAATACTTTAGTTGTGACGTCATTGTATCTTCATGAAACACCATGCATTGTAGGGTGTACATTTTATTCGAAAGAATAAAATAAGTCGCTATATTTATTATAAGAAATTAATATTATTTATTTATTTACCATTAGAATAGCTCTAGTTTCGCCTGGTTGACATTTGTATATTTCCTTGTCTCTGCATACAATAATTCCAGAACCAATCACACACCAACATGATATGGCTTCATTTGCTCCTGGAAATGGGGTAGACGACTAATTTTTATTTTAATGTCCGTCTGATAGATTATTTAAAAACATTAGACACGTATTTTTTATTTTCTCACAGAAACGAATAGTTTCGAAGATATATTGATTTGAAATGTTGCGTGACGTCACTTCTCAGTACATTTTATACTAAGGAATGACGTTTTAGCCCCCATTCCTAAACTATGATTCGTTTTATCTAAGTATTGTTTTATTATACGACAAAATAAAAAAATCCGTGTCTAATATTTTTTCATTACCTAACTTACGGACTAATTATATTTTTAATTTTCATACCCTGTCATCATCCCCATTGTAACATACATGCTTTAATTACGAAACTAGAATATTTTAATGAGTTACTAACATTATTTTATATCTTGAAAATTGTTAAACATTGTTGAACAACATCCCCTAAATTTGTTCATACAAAAGTAGTCTCTAAACATTGGAAATAAGGTCTATGATGTAGTTAGTGGAGAGTGGTCACCAGTGATCGCTTCAGGTTCACCAGGTTCAATTCCCAGGCCGGGCAAAGCATTATTGGTTTTTTTTTAATCTTAGTAGTAGCACTGGCCGGTATATGGCAATAGGCTCACACCTATATGGGACTCATAGCATAAATAGTGAAAAGTAGGTGCACCTCTGCCTACTCCTTCGGGGATGAAAGGCGTGATGTTATGTTATTAATATAAGATATCAGTACTCACTTGGTAAATCAGGTACAGATCTAACTTTAGGATCTGACACATTGCTGATCAGGAACATACGGTTGGTAGTTGTGATGACAGCTAAACCGACTCCGTGAGGACTGGGGAATATACGGGCTTTGTACACCTGGAATTATGATTTGATTGATATTTATTTGTTATGTTTTATTCATTTATACCTAATTACCTACAACACAATACAATGCATAGGCACACTTAATATCAATCTATTAAAAAATACTATGAATACAAAAGTTTGTCACGGCATAATTATGTATGTCGACCAAATAGCTTTACTTTTAATTTTTTGTTCACGCGCAAAACTGCCTTTCTGGTCAAAAATATTTCAGCCTCACCTTAGTATCTCTGACTTCCTGTCCCATATTGAAGGTCCTCTGATAGGCTCCGAACATGTCGTACACCAGAACATCACCGCTTTGCTGGACACACAGCAGCTGCTCCGAGTCCGACCAGCCCATGTGTACTAGTTCTCCACTGTTCCACTGGAATATTACAATTGAAGTTTTAAACACATAATCATGTAACTGGTAGTAAAATTAAATTATAGATGGAATAATTTTTATAACTAAAATTAATGAGTGGGCTCAACGGCAATAGACGTCGCGGTAGGCTCAGAAGCAGATGGCGGGTTGAACTTGACGCCTATGAAAACGATTGGCCACAGAAGCTATTAGAAGAGAGACAAGTGCAAGGAGGGTAGGGAGGTCTTTGCCCTGCAGTAGAGTAGGATGACCATGGCTTAAAATAAATAATTAAAAATAGATAGAATTATACTTTAAAGGTTTTCCTTAACAATAATCACAGACTCCTTTAAAATTGACTTTGACATAAATATTTATGTACATACATACATAGATTAATTAGTTATTATCTTTTCAGTAAAATTGCATTACTAGTCTAAAAGAATATCTATACTAGATGAAGTTTTAATACACTGCATTTTTTATTGCCTCCCATACAACAGAAAAATGATTGAAATACTCACCAAAATCTTTGATATAACATTTCCAACTCCGTTATAGATAGTTATAACAGGTTTAGCAGCTCCGGTTATCCTAACAAACTGCTTCCTGTCCCTAACCACAGCCATTGGGCCTCCGTACTGAGCTCCACTTACTATCATATTCTCCAGTCCATCATCCATGGACCAGTTCATGTTGTACAGGTCGAATTTCCTGAAAATTACATAACTAACTACATTATAGATCTTATTTCTAATGTTTAGAGACTACTTTTGTATGAACAAATTTAGGGGATGACTTTCAATAATTTTCAATGGGTTAAGTAAATAATAAAAGTAAAAACTAAAGATACTTTTTAATTTTTAGTTTTAAATTGCCTTAGGCTTATTAGGAAACTTTTATTCAAGGCTTTGCCTAGATGGATTTAGTTTATGTCTTTCTCCACAGTTGTGATGAAAATAGGCTTTGTAAGAAGGGGGTGTATAAGATAATACACCTCACATTTCTAATTTGAAGAAAGAGAATATGATAATTAAGTGTTAGAAAGATATAATGGTCTTACAAAATTTTAATAGAATTGCAGTTCTATGTCTGTACGATAGAATACATTATCCTATGGCTATAAATATTATCATGATGCACAGTGATTCTAATAAGTAAAAAAAGAGTAAAGTCTAAGTGTATTTTCTAATTGTAAATGGTATTTTACCTGTAGTAGGTGTCCAAAAGGAACCAATCTGCAGTTAGTAACGCCGACATTTTGGAATATTAATTACACTCCAATTTATTAGAGAACACTGGTGATAACAGATTTAGGTGATTGTAATTATTTTTCCTGTTTGTTTTTCTACCAACACATCATTGCATTGTTTTTAAATATCAATGATCTAGATTTTTAACGTTTATTACTACATTTACAGTTTTATTAACATTTCAGACTGTCTTTTCTAAAGGATTTTATTACACACAAACACAATACAATTAATATTTTTATTTGCAAATAAAAACTGAAACTGAATCAGTCCTTCGATTCGACGATGACTTTAAGGCAGTTGACAGTGACAGATATGTATTCGATGTCAGTGGACAATGTTTTATTGCTATCTCTGTTGCACTTACTGAAATACATATCTTCTGACATCTTTACTCTAATAAATTTAGCTTTTGTACTGGAACGCGATAGGAATGAACTGTCATTTTCAGACACTGACAGCCTGAAATTCTACTTCGTTCAGAAAATCATGAAGAACAAAACAGGTTTTCAAGAAAAATTTAAAAATAGGATGAAAAATTGTAAAATTTCAATATTCGGGCGTAAGACGCTTTTCTTTACGTTATGATTGTTATATAAGATTATTTGTACTGATGATTTGAGAACTGAACCCAAGACTCTTCGACCGGTACTCAGCAGTCGCATTAGCCGCAACTTGACTACAGAAACAGTAGGTACCTAGAGTCAAATCACTCTGCTATTAACTAATTCATTTCTTTAATATTAATATTACGTATTTAACGCTTCCACATATCATTGATGGCTCGAGTAGACGGTGTCGTGGTGGTGGACGAGTTCGTGACTATCATTATTTATATTCTGAAAATTAAAATATGTAAGTAGTTTCCGTATAAGTATTCAAAATATAGACGAAATACACTTCAAAATGAATCTGGCTTGTAGACATTTATGGGACATATCTCAGAAGTCCTTACCGTCACATATTATCAAAACTATTCAGAAAAATAACATGCATTTTGCATTAGGGATTCATACATTTTCTCCGTAGCTCCGAGGCGTTGACACTGACATGTGAGTACTCAGCCAGTCGCCGCCGCATTTTCGCATGACTGGTTACGACCGACCATTTTCTCACGCCGCGTCTCGTCCATCCGTGGACTATTAAGTACTGGAAGGAATTTGCATCCATAATGAACGACATTGGCTATCTCTCTCTACTGTACGGTCAGGGACGAACTGTGGTTGTATGTGGCCTTGGTCTAGTCACTAGATTCTAGTGTTATAAGTGGGCCCACTTAATTATTAAAATGCATGGTAAACTTGAAATAATACCTATAAGAACTGATTACTTAATGTACAAATTAGAACCGTTTCGCTTCTTTTTTTGATACTAATAGTAATAATGTCACCTTAATGTCGTATTAATTAATGCCGATACGGAGCCGAGAAGAACCTAACGGGTTACCTACCGGGGCTCCGGCTCGAAGTGCAGGAGTAGGAACGAGGTGGTTTTTAGTCCGTATGAGTCTGACACTCTCTCCCGCCTCACCCGCGGCAGGAGAGGCAGGAGAAGTCATACGATGATTTCCCCCCCCCCCCCTTAAAAAAAGTCGTATTAATGAAGTTAGGGTCCTTTTACTGGGGTAAGTATATCCTAGTAGAAGTCCAGTAGAGCTGCAGCTACAGAACCTCAGGAGTGAATTCGTCCCTGTAAAGATCTTGGTACTTGTATATACAGAGCTCCTTATACAGGCTGTGATGTTGCTACTACATTTCTCTGCTATTTTTAACCCACTTTATTGTATTTGCTTCTACTGACTAAACGAGATTTTCTTTACTTTGTTTGTGGCATTCTTTGGATTAAGAAGGTAGATAGGAGTTTACAAAGGTACCTGCTTAATAAAGGCTGTAGGTATCTATTACATAGCCCTAAGTTTAAGTCAAACATCAGATACCTATGTTAATATAGAGAGCATTAAACAAATCTGCGCATTAGACTAATATTAAGTTAATTCTCAGTAGGTAGTATTCCTTTAAACCTTTCTAGAAAATAGGTGAATGAAAGTAAAACATTGTTCAAACAATATGTATGCCGCATGGCGTGAAATATTTTCTTTGTCCAGTACAGTGCAATGTCGTGCTAAGCTGTGTGCTGACTTCCTTAACCACGCGTGAAAGAACTATTAAAAAATCGCGAAAGCGTAGCCTCTGCGACCATTACCGCCTTATACTCGCAAGATATTTTTATAATACCTGTTTACTGGTTCTAACCGTCTATTTATACATTAACACAATAATTTGCAGTCTGATTATTTTATACTTTACGTTTTTAATATTGTTGTTAGTGAATAAAACGTTGTTTTGTAAAGCAGTAAACACTTCGAAACATTTTGGTTAATTGATTCTTTTGTGGGTTTATGAGAAAACGTTTTAATTGATGATTTGTCAAAGATATAAAGTGAAACAAGGAGTAATAAATAATTATTATAAATAATTATGAAACTGTGGTTTTTTTGACTAGACTGAGACTTTAGTGATGTCGAACACGGCTATGGACTCTGGACTGTGAACATTGTTGTAGAGAATACAAAAATATTAAACAGTTTACATTCAATAACTTTAGGTGAAGATTTATGTAGGTACTCCAGTTTTATATAAACGAAGGTTTTTCTTTATTAAACTGTTTAACATCTTCGAAAAACTTGGAAAAATACATTATGTAATATATAGGTAAGTAAGTACCTTGGAGCTTATTTATAAACACGTAATCCATCAAGAAAATAGTTTTCTTCATTGATATTTCATCAATCAAAATCCACAATGTTGGTAGGTATCTAACATCAATCTTATATTGGGATTTCTAAGAAAAAAATAGTATGGCGTTAATATTATTAAAAAATAAATGTGAAGGTGTCAGGCCACGTACTGAATAGATCCATCATGAGCAAACTACGGGACAATAAACAGGTCGGTGTTAGGGACACAGCTTAAAAAAGGTTTTTTGAACCTAATAACATTATATTTTAATGTGATAAAGACGTGAATTCAAGTGGAAAACCAATTGTCATTCTCAGATCGAGACGACCTAATCAAGACTTGTCTAAGTCTGAAGAAGGTGGCAATTTCTATAGCTATTAAATTTTATCTTAGGTGAACGAAGATAATTTGTTAAAATGATATTATCTATTAGGTAAAGCTTTGAAATTTAAATGCTGTTCATCTTCTTATAAAAATGAGGAACTTGCATGTAGGTTTTGAAAGGCCAGAAAATAGTGTAGATGATGATTTTTTCTTTAAGTTAATACTGTAGTGGTAGTGGCTACCTGCGTGGCAACACTGGCAGGGTGGCCATGCAATGTGGAGCAATAAGGGAGACCTAAGGCCTTAGTAAGAGTTTAAAGTAATCGTTACGAGTACGCGTTCGGCGCTGTGATTGGCTGGCGCCAATGAACAAACCAATCAGAGGGCCAAGCATGAATAACTATCGCATTCGTATCGTAACAGTATTGAGCGAGTTAAGCGTTCTGATTGGTTGATTCACTTGAGCCGGCTAATCAGAGTGCCGGACGCTATCGATACTATTACGTTACGAATGCATAGTTTTTCGTGCTTGGCACTCTGAGCACCGAATGCCGTCTCGTTTCGATTTTAAACGAAAAAGATACTCGTACTAAGCCCTCTGTTGTTTTCATGAATAACTTTAATTAATTAAGTGTTAATAACTAACTTTACTCTACTTACTTATAGTGCGAAGTGTCACACACACTACAATACGAAGTTAATGATAGCTTAAAAACGATTTTCTGGTTGTTTTTTACAAAGAGTAATGTTTAAATTGCTCTAGATATCTGTTATTTGTGATGACATAACTGACTATCGGCCGTTGGTTCAGACTTAAGAGATCGCAAGCGAAATCTGGATAATGGGACTAATATTGACTTACTCAGTCCATCACTTTCCGCAATTGACCGTAGATGAAGAACGATGTCTTAATGTTTTTGTTTTGCACAACGCTTCCCATGTTTTTCTATCAAGAGGAATAAGTCCTTACTCGTACGTTTCCCTCAAATCCTCACTTAATGCTCCCAATACAGTTCGTATAAACAGATTTAACTTTAGCTAAACAAATCTCTTGCTTTATTTAGCGTATTTAGTTTATTTTATAGCATAAGATATTTATTATTTATTTATTTATTTATTAAAACTTTATTGCACATATAGTGAAATTGGCGGACTTAATGCCGTAGGCATTTTCTGACAGTCGACCATTGGGTGGTGCAGAATGTTAATATATTTACTATCTAAGTACGTATCTGTCGTATGTTCGGGTTGAAAGTGATTGAGTATTGGATACGAGTAGAAATTACACACATAAACATACATAACATCACGCCTTTTATCCTCGAAGGGGTAGGCAGAGGTGCACATTATACCACTGTACAATGTAACACCCACTTTTCACTATTTATATTATGAGTCCCATGTAATAGGGGGTGAGCCTATTGCCATATACGGGGCACAGTTCCAGACTCCGTGCAACTACTGAGTTTTTTTTAAAAACCCTGTAATACTTTGCCCGATCCGGGAATCGAACCCGAGACCCCTTACCCGGCAGTCGCAATTGTGACCACTCGGCCAACGAGGCATAGAAATTACAGTTATGAGTTTAACTGGGTATTCAATACATTTATGTTCATTTGCTCATATTTATTGTAATATATATTTATTTATGTTACTTACATTGTACATGTCAATAACATTTATTTATATTTTCAATAATATATATTTTCCAAGGGTTGCAAATCTCAAATCATACAAAATGGCTTCTACAAATACGCGTTCATTAGTAGAGTTAACTTCCTAATACCTGCTTACTTTAAGTCATTTACTCTTCAAAATAAATAAATTGAATATCCTACAATGTCTTCTTAAGATAGGTAACTTAATTTATCTAAATTCCTCTTGAATTCAAAGTAAATGTAAATAAAGTTGTACCTAGGCAGATAGGCTGGGACTACTTAGGGAT